GGGTTACGGGATTCCGGGATTCCGGGATACCGGAATTCCGGGATACCGGGAAACCGGGAAACCGGGATACCGAGAAACCGGGATACCGAGATACAGGGATACCGGGATACCGGGAAACCGGGATACCGGGATACCGGGATACCGGGATACCGGGATACCAGGATACAGGGATACAGGGATACCGGGATACCGGGATACCGGGATACTGGAAAACCGGGATACCGGGAAACCGGGAAACCGGGATACCGGGATACCGGGATACCGGGATACCGGGATACCGGGATACCGGGAAACCGGGAAACCTGGATACCGGGAAACCGGGAAACCGGGATACCGGGAAACCGGGATACCGGGATACCGGGATACCGGGATACCGGGATACCGGGATACCGGGATACCGGGATACCGGGATACCGGGATACCGGGAAACCGGGATACCGGGATACCGGGATACCGGGAAACCGGGAAACCGGGAAACCGGGATACCGGGAAACCGGGATACCGGGATACCGGGATACCGGGAAACCGGGATACCGGGATACCGGGATACCGGGATTCTAGGATACCGGGATTCCAGGAAACCGGGATACCGGGATACCGGGATACTAGGATACCGGGATACCGGGATACCGGGAAACCGGGATACCGGGATTCCGGAATACCGGGATTCCGAGATACCGGGAAACCGGGAAACCGGGATACCGGGATATCGGGATACCGGGAAACCGGGATACCGGGATACCGGGAAACTGGGATACCGGGATACCGGGAAACCGGGAAACCAGGATACCGGGATACTGGGAAACCGGGAAACCGGGATACCGGGATACCGGGATACCGGGATACCGGGAAACCGGGAAACCGGGATACCGGGATACCGGGAACCGGGAAACCGGGATACCGGGATACCGGGATACCGGGATACCGGGAAACCGGGATACCGGGATACCGGGATACCGGGATACCGGGATACCGAGATTCCGGGATACCGGGAAACCGGGAAACCGGGATACCGAGATACCGGGATACCGGGATACCCGGTTACCGGGAAACCGGGATAACGGGATACCGGGAAACCGGGATAACGGGATACCGGGATACCGGGATACCGGGATACCGGGATACCGGGAAACCGGGATACCGGGATACCGTGATACCGGGATACCGGGAAACCGGGATACCGGGAATCCGGGATACTGGGATACCGGGATACCGGGATACCCGGTTACCGGGAAACCGGGATAACGGGATACCAGGAAACCGGGATAACGGGATACCGGGATACTGGGATACCGGGATACCGGGATACCGGGAAACCGGGATACCGGGATACCGGGATACCGGGATACCTGGAAACCGGAATACCGGGATACCCGGTTACCGGGAAACCGGGATAACGGGATACCGCGATACCGGGATACCGGGAAACCGGGAAACCGGGATACCGGGATACCGGGATACCGGGAAACCTGGATACCGGGATACCAAGATACCAGGAAACCGGGATACAGGGAAACCAGGATACCGGGAAACCGGGAAACCGGGATACTGGGATACCGGGATACCGGGAAACCTGGATACCGGAATACCGGGATACCGGGAAACCTGGATACCGGGATACCAGGATACCAGGAAACCAGGATACAGGGAAACCAGGATACCGGGAAACCGGGAAATCGGGATACTGGGATACCGGGATACCGGGAAACCTGGATACCGGAATACCGGGATACCGGGAAACCGGGAAACCGGGATACCGGGATACCGGGATACCGGGATACCGAGATACCGGGATACCGGGATACCGGGATACCGGGAAACCGGGATACTAGGATTCCGGGATACTGGGATTCCGGGATACCGGGAAACCGGGAAACCGGGATACCGGGACACCGGGATACCGGGAAACAGGGATACCGGGATGCCGGGATACCGGGATTTCGGGATACCGGGAAACCGGGATACCGGGATACTGGGAAACCGGGAAACCGGGATACCGGGAAACCGGGATATTGGGATACTGGGATACCGGGATACCGGGAAACCGGGATACCGGGACACTGGGAAACCGGGAAACCGGGATACAGGGATACCGGGAAACCGGGAAACCGAGATTCCGGGATACCGGGAAACCAGGAAACCGGGAAACCGGGATACCGGGATACCGGGATACCGGGATTCCGGGATACCAAGATACCGGGATTCCGGGATTCCGGGATACCGGGATTCCGGGATTCCGGGATACCGGGAAACCGAGATACCGGGATACCGGGATACCGGGATACCGGGATACCGGGAAACCGGGATACTGGGAAACCGGAAAACCGGGATACCGGGATACAGGGATACCGGGATACCGGGAAACCGGGATACCGGGAAACCGGGAAACCGGGATACCGGGATACCGGGAAACCGGGATACCGGGATTCCGGAAAACCGGGATTCCGAGATACCGGGAAACCGGGATACCGGGATACCGGGATACCGGGAAACCGGGATAGCGGGATACCGGGAAACCGGGATACCGGGATACTGGGAAACCGGGATACCGGGATACCGGGAAACCGGGAAACCGGGAAACCGGGATACCGGGATACCGGGATACCGGGAAACCGGGATACCGAGATACCGGGAAACCGGGAAACCGGGATACCGGGATACTGGGATACCTGGATACCGGGATTCCGGGATACCGGGATACCGAGATTCCGGGATACCGGGAAACCGGGAAACCGGGATACCGGGATACCGGGATACCGGGAAACCGGGATACCGAGATACTGGGAAACCGGGATACCGGGATACCGGGATACCGGGAAACCGGGATACCGGGATACCGGGAAACCGGGATACCGGGATACTGGGAAACCGGGATACCGGGATACCGGGAAACCGGGAAACCGGGAAACCGGGATACCGGGATACCGGGATACCGGGAAACCGGGAAACCGGGATACCGAGATACCGGGAAACCGGGAAACCGGGATACGGGGATACCGGGATACCGGGATTCCGGGATTCCGGGATACCGAGATTCCGGGATACCGGGAAACCGGGAAACCGGGATACCGGGATACCGGGATACCGGGATACCGGGAAACCGGGATACCGGGATACCGGGAAACCGGGAAACCTGGATACCGGGATACCCGGTTACCGGGAAACCGGGATAACGGGATACCGGGATACTGGGATACCAGGATACCGGGAAACCGGGATACGGGATACCGGGAAACCTGGATACCGGGATACCAGGAAACTGGGATACCAGGAAACCAGGATACCGGGAAACCGGGAAACCGGGATACTGGGATACCGGGATACCGGGAAACCTGGATACCGGGATACCAGGATACTGGGAAACCTGGATACCGGGATACCGGGATACCGGGAAACCGGGAAACCGGGAAACCGGGAAACCGGGATGCCGGGAAACCGGGAAACCGGGATACCGGGATACCGGGATACCGAGATACCGGGATACCGGGATACCGAGATACCGGGATACCGGGATACCGGGATACGGGGATACCGGGATACCGGGAAACCGGGAAACCGGGATACCAGGATTCCGGGATACCGGGATTCCGGGATACCGGGAAACCGGGAAACCGGGATACCGGGATACCGGGATACCGGGAAACCGGGATACCGGGATGCCGGGATACCGGGATTTCGGGATACCGGGAAACCGGGATACCGGGATACCGGGAAACCGGGAAACCGGGATACCGGGATATTGGGATACTGGGATACCGGGATACCGGGATACCGGGATACAGGGATACCGGGAAACCGGGAAACCGGGATACCGGGAAACCGGGAAACCGGGAAACCGGGATACAGGGATACCGGGATACCGGGAAACCTGGATACCGGGATACCAGGATACCGGGAAACCGGGATACCGGGATACCGGGAAACCAGGAAACCGGGATACCGAGATACCGGGATACCGGGAAACCGGGAAACCGGGATACCGGGATACCGGGATACGGGAAACCGGGATTCCGGCATACCGGGATACCGGGATACGGGAAACCGGGATTCCGGGATACCGGGAATCAGGGAAACCGGGATACCGAGATACCAAAATACCGGGAAACCGGGATACCGGGATACCGGGATTCCGGGATACCGGGATTCCGGGATACCGGGATTCCGGGATACCGGGAAACCGGGAAACCGGGATGGTCACCAGGGGAGCGCTGCACTGGTGCCATCACGGGGAGAGAGTGCCATCAAGGAAGTCAGTGGAGCGCTGCACTGGTGCCATCACGGGGAGAGAGTGCCATCAAGGAAGTCAGTGGAGCGCTGCACTGGTGCCATCACGGGGAGAGAGTGCCATCAAGGAAGTCAGTGGAGCGCTGCACTGGTGCCATCACGGGGAGAGAGTGCCATCAAGGAAGTCAGTGGAGCGCTGCACTGGTGCCATCACGGGGAGAGAGTGCCATCAAGGAAGTCAGTGGAGCGCTGCACTGGTGCCATCACGGGGAGAGAGTGCCGTCAAGGAAGTCAGTGGAGCGCTGCACTGGTGCCATCACGGGGAGAGAGTGCCATCAAGGAAGTCAGTGGAGCGCTGCACTGGTGCCATCACGGGGAGAGAGTGCCATCAAGGAAGTCAGTGGAGCGCTGCACTGGTGCCATCACGGGGAGAGAGTGCCATCAAGGAAGTCAGTGGAGCGCTGCACTGGTGCCATCACGGGGAGAGAGTGCCATCAAGGAAGTCAGTGGAGCGCTGCACTGGTGCCATCACGGGGAGAGAGTGCCGTCAAGGAAGTCAGTGGAGCGCTGCACTGGTGCCACCACGGGGAGAGAGTGCCATCAAGGAAGTCAGTGGAGCGCTGCACTGGTGCCATCACGGGGAGAGAGTGCCATCAAGGAAGTCAGTGGAGCGCTGCACTGGTGCCATCACGGGGAGAGAGCGCCGTCAAGGAAGTCAGTGGAGCGCTGCACTGGTGCCACGCATTCACATGGGAACAGATTTTATTGCAGGATGCTCACCGTCGGTGAGCCTTGGGGGAGATGCTCACCGTGGTGCACACAGGTGAGCCGTGGGGGAGGTGCTCACTCGGGGAGAGAGTGCCATCAAGGAAGTCGGTGGCACGCTGCACCGGTGCCACGAAGTTTCCACCTCCCATCACGGCCGCCTGGCGCTCAATTGCTCTCTGGGGGAAGGAGGCAGTGGAAGGGGAGACAGAAGGGGAGGATGAGAGAAGCTTTTAGGCGGTACAAAAAGAACATCCTCCCTTCCCCCCACAGCTTCAACTTTACGAGGTACTCCATGCCTGCCAGCGCGCCGTAGTCACAGCTCACCCCCTTCTCTCCCCACCACCACCCCACCCCAGCGCGCCACCTACCTGGTACTCCATGCCTGCCAGCGCGCCGTGCTCCCCGGTGAACTCGTCAAAGTCGCCACCAGCAGCAGACACGGAAGAGACGAGGGCCGCGTTGGCCCAGAGCGAGGAGCGGTTGGAGAAGGACATGCCGTTGAGGCACAGCTCGTCCGCTGTCACACTCGTGCACACCACCTGCCCTCCCGGACACATGCAGAACGAGTAGCAGCTGCGCCCCTGCTGCCCACTGCTAGTGCTGCTGGCAGTGGGGGAGAACTGGCCGGCGAGGGAGTAGTCAGCCACGGGGATGGCCCCCTTGCCGCGCGCCACTGCTGCCTCCACGTCCATGCTGCCCTGCCACCGCCGGTACTGCCGTGGGTGGGGGGGAGAGGGGGGGAGAAGGGGGGAGAAGGGGGGAGAAGGGGGGAGAAGGCGGGAGAAGGGGGGGAGAAGGGGGGAGAAGGGGGGAGAAGGGGGGAGAAGGGGGGGAAAAGGGGAGGGCGGAGAAAAGGAAGTGTTGCTCCACCAGCACTTGCCCCCTTGCCGCGCGCCACTGCTGCCTCCACGTCCATGCTGCCCTGCCACCGCCGGTACTGCCGTGGGTGGGGGGAAGAGGGGGGGAGAAGGGGGGAGAAGGGGGGAGAAGGGGGGAGAAGGGGGGAGAAGGGGGGGAGAAGGGGGGAGAAGGGGGGAGAAGGGGGGAGAAGGGGGGGAAAAGGGGAGGGCGGAGAAAAGGAAGTGTTGCTCCACCAGCACTTGCCCCCTTGCCGCGCGCCACTGCTGCCTCCACGTCCATGCTGCCCTGCCACCGCCGGTACTGCCGTGGGTGGGGGGGAGAGGGGGGGAGAAGGGGGGAGAAGGGGGGAGAAGGGGGGAGAAGGGGGGAGAAGGGGGGGAGAAGGGGGGAGAAGGGGGGAGAAGGGGGGAGAAGGGGGGGAAAAGGGGAGGGCGGAGAAAAGGAAGTGTTGCTCCACCAGCACTTGCCCCCTTGCCGCGCGCCACTGCTGCCTCCACGTCCATGCTGCCCTGCCACCGCCGGTACTGGCAGGGTGGGGGCCATGGGGGAAGGGGTAGGGGGGAAAAAGGGAAAGGTGATGCCCTGCCACCAGTAGTACTGCTTAAACAGAACAGAACACCGAAAAAAGGCTAAGCTTTGCTTACCCGAATGGCGTTAATCTCGCGCTGGGGATGCTCAATGCGGAAGCCCACAGCAAAGTCCTTTGGGGAGAGCAGCACGTTGTGAGACAGCAGCATGTCAAACACCGCCCTTGCTGAGTGCCCCACCCCCAACAGCATGTCAAACACCGCCCCTTTGAGACACCTCAAAAGCCTTACCCGGATGGCGTTGATCTCTCGCTGGGGATGCTCGATACGAAAGCCCACTGCAAAGTCCTTTGGTGTGAGCAGCACGTTGTGAGACAGCAGCATGTCAAACACCGCCCTTGCTGAGTGCCCCACCCCCAACAGCACCCTATCCGCTGCTATCACACTCCGCCCCTCTGCACCGCTTCCCACCGCACTCCCAGCCGGCCTCACTCGCACCCCCGCCACCCGCCCGTTCCGAACCTCCAGATCCTCCACCACCGTTCCGAACCTGATCTCCACGCCCAAACCTAACAAATAGGCCCGGAACTGCTGCAGGATGCGCACGAGCCTGTCGGTGCCGAGGTGCGGGCGCCCGTCCACAAGAATACGTTCGGGAGCACCCATCCTCACCAGAACATTCAGCACCTCCCTAACATCTTGACTATTCTTCCCGATCCTAGTCGTCAGCTTGCCGTCACTCCACGTCCCAGCCCCACCCTCCCCATAGCAGAAGTTGCTGTCTGGGTTGAGCACATGGCGCACGGCTAGAGCGCCGATGTCCCGCCCTCGCTCCTCCACGGGCTGACCCCGCTCCACCACTGTCACCTGCTCGCCTGCTTCTGCCAGTACGAGAGCTGCCAGCAACCCCGCTGGACCCATCCCCACCACTACGTTGCGCATTCGCTCTCTCGGTGGCTTGTCTCTCGCCCTCACTGCTCCTGTGGGAGCACCTGTGCTGCTGCTGGTATAAGCACCAGCACCATCAGCAGCGGAAGCAGCAGCAGCAGGGGCAGCAACAGGTGGAGCAGCAGGGGACGCAGCAGCAGGGGTGCAGGCAGCGAGAAGGCTGAAGGGCGGTTCAGGCAGCACGACCTGGGATTTAAGGGCCACATCTCTGCGCTTGCGAGGGGGCGTGGCTGAGAGCGTGAAGGCCTGCGCTAGCGCTGCTGCATCGATGTCAATGGCATAGGCGAACACAGGGGCCTGTGAACGAGGAGAGGCGCATGGGGGTGGGGGAGGGAGACGGTGAAAGAGGCTTGCAGTAGGCTTACTGCACGCACGCAGCTCACTGAGCCATGTCCGGATCTCGCATGGGGGTGGGGGAGGGAGACGGTGAAAGAGTGGGAGAGCAAGACAGGGTGAAGGCTTGCACCAGTGCTGCTGCATCAATGTCAATGGCATAGGCGAACACTGGGGCCTGTGCGTGAGGGAGGTGGGGATGGGATGGGCGAGGGAGAGAGTGAAAGATGGAGAGAGGGAGAGGGTGAAGGGCCTTGCACCCTACCCCAACGCACCTTGCAATGCATACAACCCAGCCCATCGCACCTTGCAATGCATACAACCCAGCCCAACGCACCTTGCGGGCATCAAAGGACTTGCGCACGACCGTGAGAGCAGACGAGGGCAGGTGCTCCGCCCGCACGTGCAGCGCCATAGCTGCCGCCCGCACCAGCCCCTCACTCACTGCCACGTCATCCTTGCCCGGGTCGGCATGCAACGGCACATCCACATTCATGAGTCTTATCACCCCCTCCGTTGGCAAATGCCCTTCTTTCGGAGAATGCCCATCCCCTTGTGAGTCCCTGTCCATTGACAGATGCCCCTCCTGCACTCCATTCGCCTTGACATCTGACATCCTCTCCTCCTGCTGTCCGTCAAGCCTCTCCCGCCCCCACCCTCGTTCCTCTTCGCGAGGACGGCGATGGAAGTCTGACTGCGTATCTGCTCTCCTGCCACTGTCACTCCTCCCTCTTCCCCCGTAACCACCCCTTCCTCTCCTGCCAAAGTCGCCCCTCCCTCTTTCCCGATAATCCCCCCTCCCTCTTTCCCGATAATCCCCCCTCCCTCTCCCTCTCCCCCCATTATCATCCCTCTCTCTTCCCCTGTACCCCTCCCTCCCTCTTTCTTCTAATCCGCCCATCTCCCTGCCTCCATACTCGCTCCTCTCCCTCCCTCCATAGTCACCCTTTTCCCTCCCTCCATACTCATTCCTCTCCCTTCCCTCATACTCACTCCTCTCCCTTCCCCCATACTCACTCCTCTCCCTTCCCCCATACTCACTCCTCTCCCTTCCCCCATACTCACTCCTCTCCCTTCCCTCATACTCACTCCTCTCCCTTCCCTCATACTCACTCCTCTCCCTTCCCGCATAAACACTCCTCTCGCTCCCCCCATAAACACTCCTCTCGTTCCCCCCATACGACCCCCTGCCCCTTCCACCATACCCGCCCCTGTCCCCCCTTCCATATCCCGCCCTCTCAGTCCCCCCATAACCGCCCCTATCTCTCCTCCCATAATCGACCCCCTCTCTCTCCCCATCACCCCTCCTCCCTTCCCCACCTCCCCCTTCTCTCCTTCCATCCCCCGACCTCTCGCTCCGCTCAACCCCACTCTCCCCTGATTCGCCCCACCGTTCCTCAATCCTCCGCCCACCCCTTCCCCAATACACCCTCTCTCCCTCTCCGCCTCCTCGCCCCCCACTCTCCCTGCCATACCCAGAGTACCGCTCTCTTACCCCCTGGTACCGCTCTGAACCCTTTGTTAACCGCTCCCTTTCATCCCCATACGCCTCTCGCCTCTCGTTCTCGCTTCTCCTTGCCTCATCAATCCCCATCAACCCTTCTCCCCTTCCATATCCCCTAACTCCTCGCTCCCTCCCATACCCCTCTCGACCCGCACTTCCATACGCATATCGGTCCTCCTTATAACGAACCCTCTCATCGCCATCGCCATCGCTAAACCCCCCTCTGTCCCCGAACCCTGAACCCTCCCGCGCCTGTCCCCCCTTGTCCCTCTCCCCTCGCTCTCTCCCGCTTAAACCACCCCTTCCTCTGCCCCCCCAACGACCTTCCCCTCCATCGCTCTCCACCCCTCTATACGCACTCCGCCTATAATCACCACCCATTTCGGGACCAACTCTTCCACCATCTCCCCTCACCGTACTCCTCTGATCTTCTCCCTCTCCCCTCCCGCTGCTCTCACCAGACAAACGCCTCTCGCTCTCACTCCATTCCCCATTTTCTCTCCGAGCCCGGCTCCCCCCTGGAGCTAAGTCGTCTCTAACAGTGGCATTCCCCCTTCGCCGCTCGTCGGATCGGTCCCGACTGAACCGCGCAGTCACGGCGAGCGAACGGCCATTCTGGGAGATTCCCGAGATTCCGGAGAGTGCCGTCGCATCGTCGCGGCGAAGTGGTAACCCGCGAGTTGACAAGCTCCCGTGGTGACGCAAGCTGGTGTGCTTGAATGGAAGGACGACGCGTGACCCCGTTAGAAAATTAACCAGCGTCATCGCTCATTCACTTGTAATGGATCCACGGAGTAGGTTGCTTCGGAACAATGTGGAATGGTACCTCTTCTATTCAAGCATGAACCATTTATTCAATGGGGGAGAGACCATCTGATGTAAACTGGTCGACACGATTGAAGCAGAATTGCTCGAATCCGCAACGGTTATGCGGGGAATCTTGGGATGTCCTCGCACTTATCCAGCAAGGCATGCAAAGTACGAATGGAAGATAACTACCGTGCTCAGTCAGCGCGACTCACTCATTTCTACGATTTTACATGCACACCAATACGGTAGCTAGCTAATCCAGCTAGAGCATGATTTGATTTTACATGAATATGAATAGCTAGCTACTCTAGCTAAAACATACAAGGTGATGTGCGACCCAATCCTACCGTAATTCTCTCAGTTCAGTGAATTTCACTGCCATCAACTAGGCCTTGCACAGTGATGCCTCCGCCCGCCCCTGTGACCAGAGCCTGCCCATCAAACATAGCAGCTCCTCCTGGGGAACAAAACACAACACATCACACGAGTTTGAATAAATTAGCAGATACATATGAACGGGGGACTTAGCGAAAGATGACAAAGTGTGAATAGGAACATTTGTTATTTCAGGATTGTAGTACCCACCTTGCACCCGAAGCAGCCCTGCCACCTTCTCCCACACTTTGGAGCTGAGCTGCTTCACTGGGGCTGCACTCGCAGGCCGGCCCTGGGGTTGCAGGGGGAGTGAATGAAACGCGAGGGAGATTAAGACAGGAGAACAACGAAAATTCAGGGAGAGTCTTGAATAACGTGTGAATTATGGCAAAAGCAAGTGGAATATGACGGGCATGGGGCAAACCGAAAGGTCATGCATATGTGTATGAAGTAAGCACGCACATTGGGGGATACATGGGCATGCATGAAAGGATGCACACGTGAGCTTGCACGCATGCTACAGCTCATGCAGGAGGGCGGGCATACAGGCATGGACAGGGCGTATCAGCACAGGGAGTGATCACAGGCATAGTGCGTACCTGGATGCAGACTCGATCACCAACTGCAGCATCTTGGGGCGGATCAATGAGCTGTTGGGGAGGAGATTCGGGTGATGGGTTGAAATGGGGGAGATGGAGCAGTGGGGAGATTGAACCGAAGTGGAAAATGGAGTGCACAGTGGAGTGGGTGGGGAGCTTCAGGTGCATCAGCACAAAGAGCGCGCAACGCGACCCATGTGCTGGACAGCCACTGACACACGCATGCATAACCCATTCCTCCTTCCTCACCTTCACAGCACACCCCCCCCCCGCCCCCCCCCCCCCCCCCCCCGCCCCCCCCACAACCCCCTCAGCCTGAGGCGCCTAAAGAACTCAGTTTGAGGCCAGAAGTAATTTCTTGACTCAAAAAGCCATCGCCCAGGCCTGCTCACCTTGACAACCTCCCCGGCCTCAGCCTCAGCAGAGGGGTGCGAGCCAGCGAGCATCATGGCTTGGCTGGGCTGCCCGGCCAGCTTGGCGGGCTTGAGGTTGCACACGGCACACACCAGCCGCCCCTGCAGCTCCTCCTGCGAGATGAACTTCTTCAGACCAGCCACAACCTGAGGGGGTTCAGTTCACACGGACACAGGTGAGCAGAAGATAGTTTTTTGAAGAGAAGAGATTGAGTCTTGAGGCGCCTCAAAAGTCACCTCAACAGTCGCCTCACCAACCGGGGGGGTTCAGTTCACACGGACACAGGTGAGCAGAAGATAGTTGTTTGAAGAGAAGAGATTGAGTCTTGAGGCGCCTCAAAAGTCACCTCAACAGTCGCCTCACCAACCGGGGGGTTCAGTTCACACGGACACAGGTGAGCAGTTGATAGATGTTTAAGGAGAAGAGATGGAGCTGCAGGGAACAGTTTGCGCATTGAGAAAGCCAGAGGCGTGCATGCTGCAAGCACGAGGTAGAGCGGCTGAGGCAGCAGAAGAGGGGGAGCAATTGATGGTGAGAGGAGCGCAAACGTTTAGACAAGGAAGTAATACGCAATGCCAGGCGCAACGCACCTGGCGGACCTCCCCCGGAGCAACCTCGACCTGGCAGACGTAAAGCTTCTCCGCCACCGGGTGGGGCTCCACCGCCTGCACCCGCGCCACCTGCGCGCGGGGGGCGGAGAGGGGGAAGATGGGGAAAAAGGTGTTGCGAGGCGGCTCAAATGCATCTCCCCATACAGTTGCGTAAACAGCGCGTTTCTTTCGAGAAGTTATCCAGGATAAGCAGAATACAAGCTCGCATTAATGGTCATTCGCCAACGGCCAGGAATGTGGTAACAGCGAGAGGAGAAGGCAACTGTTGACGACGTTTGCTGATCTAACGAAAGTTTGCGCGCTGTCGCTCGACGCTCACCCTGATGTCGCATTTGTCGAAATTCTCTACGCTCTCCCCCGCTGATGCTGGAGCAGCTGATGATTGCGCTGCTGGCGGAGAGGGAACGGAGAAACATACGCAGCTGATCAGCCAAACGAATTAGGAGAAACATCACAGAAAGACAACGGCGAACTACGACCTATGATGTTCAACGGGAGCATATGCGGAGTTCCTCGGTTCCGCAGAGTATAAATCACCTGGTTTCGGAGCTTTTGCTTTCCCTTTTTCTGACGACTGCTTCTCGCCATTGCTTTCAGCTACTGCTGGTTTCGGCTGAGCGGCAACGGGAACGTCAGCTGAGGAGGCGGACGACGCGGTGAGGCGGGAGATGAGGAGGTCGATCTGCGCGATCGCATTGTCCAGAGCCACTAGCGCTGGAGCAGGATCAGCGGCAGCCATTTTGGCAAGTAGTGGAGAAACGAGTTGTGTACGGGAAACGAGTATCTGTGAGAATTGAATGTGAGAAAGATGTGTAGTGGCCTTTCCAGAATGATATTGTGTTGAGGAGAAATAGCATCTAAATAATGAAACGGTGTACCAAAGTCACGGTCGAATTCATCAGATTTGTAACGCGGATAATTTTCCCCACCTGTCGCTTCGCACCTCGAGCGAGGATTTCAAATGTCCCGCCAAATTTGTGGCAGACACATTCACTGACCCGAACCGCCTGAAACCTGCAACCAAAAAAGCACTTGACCTTGCTCTCCCCCCCACGCTGCTGATACCCAAACCACAAGCAATCTCATCCCAATTCCCAAGGTCATTCCATGGCGAACTGTTAGACAATCTCGAGGGCATAACTGACTGTTCACGTTGGAGTATAGTCCGCTGTGTCTTTGCCTGCCGAAGCCATTGTCTAGCAAAGTTTGTCCTAGTTGCGATCACTTCATAGGTATTACCGAATCGATCTGACATCTCGTCGGATATTTTACTAGATTTCATAGCCTTCCAGTGTGGTGTATATTTGCGATCAGCAATGGAGACGGACGACTTGATTCTAGGAAACGTCAGCCTGAACACCTTATCAGCTTTTGGTTAGTGCTACCTATCGTACCCTCCTCGTTCGTTTTCTGAGTTAACTGGTGACTTTCTGTAAAGGAAACTAACTGAGTATGTCTTATTGATATGCAGATGAGGCGAATCAGAAGTTCCCAGGTCGATTTGACTTCGCAATTACCCCGTTGCGACCTCAGAAGCGAATTCTAAACGACACTGTTGGCGGAGGTGACATCATACATGGCAGCGTGCAGCAGGAAAAAACTGGTGCTGGTAATCTAAATCACTCCTCACATCTTACTTTCAATCTAGTGGAGAACAATGAGAATAACGTCAGCATTCCAGTTTCAGTTAACGTCAACGCTGCGTCTAAGCTCGCTCCGACACCGACGGCTGCACGGAGGAAGAGCAGACGGAGCGTCGCACGACAGAGCCTGCCATGGAACAACGCGTTCCTGGAAGACGAAGGTGGGATACAAACCCTGGTGTCTAATCTATCCGTACAAGCAATCAGTATTCTAGGGAAAAGAAGACTTACCTTTCATATTTCTGACATGCAGGTCTTTTGAATGATGAGGAGTTGCACGGCGAAGTCATTGATGACAGTTTTATCATGGAGCGAATGACCGACATCGATTGGCCTGAAGACCCTCAGAATGACAGATCCAAGGAAGTCTCCAAGATGAGCGATCCAAGCGGCTCTGGCTCCGACCCAAGCGCATCTGCAGCACTGGCTAAGATTCAGACTCCTGAGCCGAAATCCGTGCGCAAGGATCGTCGCGTCAGCGCTGCCTGGAACGAGGCTTTTTTCAACAAGAACGCAGGTTCGTGCTTCCCAAGCCAGGATTCAAATCAGATGAAGCTCTTTCCAGAATCGCCCTTCAAACCCATGTCGCTCAGCGTTCGTGCACGCGATAATAACAACACAGTTCCTGCTTCTATCTTCGCTATGCGCAGAGTCGCTTCTAGACCTCGACGACGACGACGACCAGCTTGCGCCAGATCTCCCTCCGGTCGACCTGTCTTTTCTCCCCATGTATGCCGCCGCCCCTTCCGGAAACACCGCTGCTAAAGAATCCGCCAATACTCCGAAGGACGATCAAGACGCGATGTGTACTAGTGAATTAGCTGGTGCTGCCGACCACCAGAGGACGACGAGCGAGCAGCAGAGAATGACGAGCGAGCAGAAAGTAGCGGCCATTGTAGAGAAGAGCAGCACGAGCGACTGCGCGAATGTCCCGAAGAGTGCGACAAGGGGAGGGTTGGATCAGGGCCCGTCAAGTACGCGACTCAAGCTGCCCGGCGCAGCACCTCGTAAGTGCCTCTGTTGGGATATTGTTGTGGTTATCTGAGAATATGGTCCTGCATTACGCTAGAGTTACCTGACCGTTGCTGATTCAACCAGTATGTCGCTTATGTCTCTCAGGGTTACATTCGTCGAATGCGAAGACGACAAATGGAGCAGGAGCTTCCCCCGCTCCAGGCGCGAGGACTCCCTCCACTTCCAGCAGGACTCCCAAGTCAGCGGCAACGACCGCGCCGGGCACAAGCCGGCAGCAGAGTGTGGGCGTATCTAGGCTCGCAAAACAAGGTAGCGGTGGTGGCGCTGTCGGCGGTGTTGGGTCATGCAGCCAGTCGAAGCATGGCGGTAGCACCGCCTCACACGCGGGAACGGCAGAGAGGAGCAAGAGGGCGGCGGCGGCGTCTGCTACCTCCTCTCACTCCCGTCAGGCGGCATCGTCAGGGCTTTCGAGTAAAGGAGGCGCTGGGGTTGGCTCGTGCGGGGCGAGAGTGGATCTGCACAGCCGCTTCGAGTCGTCCACAGACGTTGAGGACTCCAACGACTCGTTGAGGGACGCTGGGCAATCGCGTCGTCCTGAAGAAGAAGAATTGGTCGATGAGGCCCAATCGCATGCGAGTTCTGTGAATGGGGAGGAAGAGGGTGCGATCAAGGCAACTGAAGGCCAGCGCGATATGCAGGGTACAGCGACGGCAGTAGTGCGATTTGAGGAGGAAGACTCGGTGGTTTCCGCTGCCTCTGGCGCTGAGAAGCCCGCAGGGAATGCACATTCGCACGCGTCCGAGTCGGAGATTGTGGCCAAGTCTGAGGATGCGCCTGTAGGCGCGTTGCGCGGCATGGTGGGGCGCGGATCCAAGGCCATGCGCGCGTGCGCGCCGTCCCCGATGAAGCCTGCCGCCGCGCGGGAGCCGATGCCGCCGCAGGCGAGCGCAGCTGCTGCTCATCGAGGCTCGAGTGGGAGTGTGAGCAGCGCGCGCAGCTCGAATGACACGAAGCAGCATCAGCTGCGGGAGTGGCAGCAGCAGCGACAGATGGCTGCGGCGTCCAAATCCCGGCCATCAAGCAGCGCGACCGCAGGAGGACCCCCCAGGCCGGCTGCTAGAGCTGGTGCGAACATCGGGGGAAAGACTGGAGTGGGTCCGGGAGCAGCGGCGGTGAGAGCAGGAGTGCCGAAGTCGACGAGCCACTGCACGAGTACGAGTCTCGTTCCCGCTGGCCGCTCGCTGGTGCACGGTGCTGCGTCGTCTGGAGTAGCGGGGTCAGGGCTGGACGTGCTGCGAACGTCGTCTACGCGCTCCACTGGGACCTCTGCCGATGCCGGGAAACGCGTGGGCTTCGCTGGTGTAGGGAGTGGTTACAATGGTGGAGGGAATTGCGGCACGGGTCATGGCACGAACCGCGCCGCAGCTGCTACTGGGTTTGCCTTTTCCGCTGCTGCTAACTCTGCGACGGCGAAGGTTGCGAGTGCTGTTGCTCGCACTGTGTTTTCTGCGAAACCGCGGACGCTGAGCAAGGATGTGAAGGCTGTGAGCACGGAGGGATCTGCAGGTGCCTCACAGGGCAGTACCAGCGGAGCGGGAGGAGCTCCCAGTGCGGGTGCTGCTACGAGTACGGGTGGCCTGTTTGGGCTCAAGTTCACTGCGGGAAAGGCGGATGATCGTGCGGTTGTCAAGAAAGGCGCGCCTGCTGCTACCTCCAGGCGGGTCAGCGGCGTGGGAGCGAGAAAGGCACGGTTCGGATTCGGCCTCGGCGGAAAGGCAGCACCAACTGCCAAGGAGAAAGAGGAGGAAGTGAAGGAGAAGGCAGGCTATGGCGGTTCCAGTCAGGCAGTGGGGCAAGGGGGAGCGAAGCGGGTGGCGGCGGACAGCAAAGTGGCGAGCGGGAAGCAGATTGTAGTGAGCAAGAGCGGTGCTCTCGCCAAGGAGAAAGCGCCGGGTGCGTCGACGTCCCCTCTCGCTGCGGCGCTGAAAGTGGCTGCTCACCACTCGAAGCTGCTGGGACTGGCCTCCAGGATTCCTGTTCCGAAAGCGACGGGGAGGTTCGGGTTTGGCGGGAGCTCGTCCGGCGCGAAGGCTGGCGCGGCGAAGGAGAGTGAGAAGGCAGCGGGGAGGGTGGTGCACGGTTCGGGTGTGGGTGGTAAGGTCGAGGCGACGCACGGGCGGGCTGGTCAGCAGAAGACGCAGCAGGCCCACGCAGGGCCTTCCCAGCCCAAAGTCGAGGTGAGAAATGGCTGGCTGTCTTGTAACAACCCTTGTGTGGAGGATCATCACGGTCCAGTTTCCAACTTAATGGTCTAACTGGATTCGTGTGTCGTGCTGTGTGTCACAGGCTGTCACCCCTCGGGCGAGTCGAGAGAGCAATGCATCACACAGGAGCAGCTCGTCACAGCACAGCACCACACCGCACAGCGCGCACACAACCAACACGCCCCGCGCGAGCAGCAGCGCGCAGAAGAAGCCGTCCCCGCGGGTGGAGAAGAAGGCAGGCAACGGCACCCACTGGGTGCCAGGGGGCGTGGCGCAGCCGTCCGCGCTCGCCGCGGCGGATGCTGCGTTTTCCGCCATGTCCACCCCGCGGAGCAGTGACGCTGGGCAGCAGCTGAGCCGTGAGAGAGAGGGAGAGAGAAAGGAGAGGGTTGGGGAGAAACTAGCTGGCAACGATGGGCAAGCGGAGCAGCAGCTGCACGCTGAGCCGCAAGGGGGAGGTCTGACGGTTGCGTTGGGGAAGCTGGAGGAGATGGGTGAGTGTGCGGTAGAGAAGACGGCTGGCGAGGGTGAGGAGAGTGGGGCGGATGAGGGTCACAAGACGCCTGGCAGCAAGATAGGGAGCGAGAGCGAGAAAGGGAGGAAGGGGCTGTCTCTGAAGGCGATTGGGGCGTTTGTTGCTGGTGGGAGCCCGTGGAATAAATCGGCCAGGAAGGTGGCGGCAGAGAGGGAGAGAGAGGAATCGGAGGAGGCGAGGAATGAGAAGGAGAAGGGTGGGTCTGTGGTGTGCACTCCGCAAAAGTCGCCTGGGAGGGCTGGGCAGGTGGAGACGGGGGAGAGTGGTGCGAGTGTGGAGGCGGTTCAGAAGGAGGGGGAGAGGGGGGCGTGGGCGAGCACGGAGAAGGTGGGCGAGTGGGTGGGCGAGGTGCTTGAAACCGCAGGGACGCCCGACGGCTGTGAGCAAGCGGAAAGGAGGCGAACCCCTCCAAAAGAGTCAGAGCTGAACGCTGGGACCGTGGCTGTTCCAGGGGCGATGTTTATGGTGCCAGTGCCAGTCGCGGCAGCGGTGACAGGGGTTGCTACAACGGCAGTAACAACTCCAGTGGCGGTGGCTACTCCAGTGGGAGTGGCAGCGTCAGGTGGCGTGTCAGGAAGCAAGGGAGGGGGTGACAGCAAGCAGCGGCGCACCTCACCCTTGCCTCGATTCCTTGGATCCCCCATCGCCAGCCTGTTCAAGGTACAGGGACTGTCTTCACGCATCCATGCTCCTTGCTGAAGGTTTGCATGGTGCCCCTTTTGAGTGTGCTTGGTTGATGCTCTCCGTGCCTCACGAGAGTCTTGTTCTTTGTGGCCTTGATGCATGTCCTGAACTTATCTTCCCCTCTCCTTGTGCAGAGCCCCAAGCGATCCAACAAGAAGGCTCAGGAGGTCCACGTGGCAGCAAGTGGGACGCCAGCGACTGCCACAATACGCCAGTCGTCGTCAGCAATGGCGGAGCAGCAGCAGCAGCAGCAGCAGCACGAGGAGGAGGTGGAGCAGCAGCAGCAAAAACAGGAGGAGAGCTACCACGAGGCAATGCCAACTCCAGCGGCTGAAAGCCCCACCCTCCCCAGAAGGAGCCTGTTCAAAGCAGAGCAGCTCAAGACTGACCTCTTCAAATCCGACCTCGCCAGGAAAGACCTCTTCAAAGGGGCCTTCCCCAAGCCAGATTTTCCCCAGGCACCTCTCTTGAGCACTAGTGAGCAGCCTTCTGAGGCGCCTCACAAGTCATCCCTTCCGAGCACAAGCTTGCAGTCTGCAGCATCTTCCTCTGAAGCGGGCATGTATACTGCTCCTGCCTCGCCTGAGGCGGAGGAGGAGAGCAAGGAGGGACAGGAGGGCGAGAGCAGGAGCATACTTTCTCAGAAGGGTGGTAGTGCGAGCAGAGGCAGGTCGCTGGGTGCGTCTGGCAGGGGTATGTTCACTGCTCCTGCGTCCCCTGAAGCGGAGGTGGAGGGGGGAGGGGAGATGGGGGAGAAGGAAGAAGGGGAAATTACTCCTCCTGGGAGCGCGGCGAAGCAGGGGGGAGGGGAGATGAGGGAGAAGGAAGAAGGGGAGATTACTCCTCCTGGGAGTGCGGAGAAGCAGGGGGGAGGGGTGAAACGGGCAAAGGCAGCGGTGGGGGCGGAAGGGGAGGATCTAGATCCGTTTATGAGGAAGGTTTTGGAGGCGGAGGCGCTGGGCGTGGTGAGTGTGTGGCGTGACTGCTGGTGGGTGAATGGATGGCTTTGCGTTATGGAGTGTGACTGCTGGGGAAGTGCTTGAAAAACGCTGGGCTGTCCTACCTTTTGCTCACGGCTTTCACTGTGTCTGGTCTCTGGTTGTGCTCTGCTTCAGGTTGCTCTCGAGAAGAAAGGAGGGAGGGTACTTAACTCGCCAATGATGACCAAGCAGCCATTACCGCCCAGAAATCCCTGGTCACCTGTGAGTAGTCATTCCGGTTGAGTAGCATTTTTGGGTGCTCGCGAGTGTATTCTGGGCACAATATTTCCTCCATGGCTTTCGTTGACTTCCGTCTTCTTCCCTCCCCCGTACCGCTCTGAACCACTCAGGTGCGCAAGGCAGAGGTGGGCCCGTACGACTGCACCAAGAAGTCTCTAGCCGCCTCGCTAGACAGCTTCTCCCTCCCCGCCAGCAGCTCTGGAGCTTCCAACTTCTCAGTCACTGGCAGGATTGGCAGTGGTAGCGGTGCTGCTGGGTTTCCTGGTGTGGGGCATGCGGGCATGCGCATGTCCTATGGGCATTGAGCATCATACCTAGATGGTTTATTGGAGTAAGGTTAGAAATTGGAAGACCTGCGTGAGGTATGATGTACGGTAAGACTTTTTGGATAGTTTGTTACTGCAGTAAGTTTATGTAACTGGTGTAGTCCTGTATTTAGCCGTTTTGTACCTACATAGATAATTTTGTTGTGTCTACTTGTCCATTCTCATCTGCTCTGTTTTGTATTTGTGCGGTCACTGTACACAATGCATGATGGAAAGCTAGTACATACTACATAGTTGTACATGTGTCATTCAAGCTCGAAGCAGAGCATCTTGTTTAATCAGCTGCACTAACAACTGTTGCTGCTGCTGCTCTGCTACTGCTGCTCTTCCAGCTAGTAATCCAAACCATATTAGTAAAACTAACCCGTAACTCATTACCGTCATCGCCCGGATATAAGACAGTGTTGAATAGTAGACAGGGGTTGTCTACTATACGGGTGTCTCTTATAAACAGGCTAGCCTGTTTATACGACACCTATTTGTGTGTACGAGATAAGACATATATGTCTTATAATCAGAACCGGGGTTTAGGGGTTTTCTTATAAACAGGGGGTGTCTTCTAAACGAGCCTACACTACTTTAGGGGGGTACATCCATACATTCATGAATCCCTACTTCTACCTAACCCCCCTCAGTAACCGCCTCCTCTGCAGCACTAGCAACAGGCTCTACGCCCAGGTCTGGCACTCGCCAGGCATGCCTAGCCGTCTCCCTTGGCTCGATCATGCGGTCAGCCTCGGCTGCCGCTCCGCGGTAGTTGGGGGTCTCCTGGTACAGCACCTCCAGGCCAGTTGCCACAGCCACCTCCCGCACGCCCTCCGCCTGCATCGCCTCCTCCTCCTCCTCCTCCTCCTCCTCCTCCTCCTCCTCCTCCTCCTCCTCCTCCTCCTCCTCCTCCTCCTCCTCCTCCTCCTCCTCCTCCTCCTCCTCCTCTTCTGGAGCCTTCCGAAGCAGGCGCGTGTTGTCGCCTGTGGTCCCCCCGAGGGACATGTCCTCGGAGACATCGGTGGTGCTCCTGGCGCGCAGGTGAGACATCACCAGGTGGTTCTCCGTTCCGTCCAGCTTGCTGGAGATCCCACAGTGGCGGAACGCGTCGATGATGATCTGCCTGGGGACTTGATCCCAAGCCTCCGCGATCCACTGCAGCACCACGGGGTGCGGAGGCCTCCGCAGGTTCCCTGCAGGTGGGACAGAGGACACGGCAGCGAGATGTTAACGATAAGGACACGAAACAGAGCAGGAATTTAAAATGAACAGCCAACTCACCCTTCTTCGTCTTCAGGTGAATCCCTTCACGCATGAACCACCTGGCGTAGCGCGCTCGCACGGCAGCCTTGAAGCACCGGTTGATGGAGACGTCCAGGGGTTGAATCTGGCTCGTACAACCCGCTGGAATGACTGCAGGGGTGATGCTGTGCGTGCGGTACGACTGAAGCATGGTCTGGGTGATGTGGCCGCGGTAGGAGTCCAACACCAGCATTGCACGCCTCGCGCTCTTGCCGCGCTGGGGGTTCAGATGGGGAAGCACCTCCTTGGACAGCCAGGTCTGCACAGCGCTCTCGTCCATCCACCCGTTGTCCTGTGCTTGGACCACGATTCCTGCCAGGCACACAAGGGACAGACGGACATCAGCACAGTGGGGCACGCTCATGAGGCAGGGGCAAGGTTGAAGTCATGGCGCTTACCGTCCGGAATCTCACAGTTGGGGACGTTCTTCATCTTGAACCACACCCACGGCCGCAACTTCTCCCCGGATGCAGTGCACGCGAGCATCACCGTCAAGCGCGTCTTCTGGTAGCCTGCGGTGCGGATTGGGACCGAGCGCGCGCCACGGTGCTCGATCGTCCTCTCGGCCGGCATCTCCACGAACAGTGGCGTCTGGTCCGCGTTGATGATACGGGCCAGGTCGATGTTGTGCCGCGCCCTGTTGATGCGCACGAACTTCCAGAAGGACTCGCAGTCCTTCGCGCATTCTGCAAACGGGACAGGAACAGAAGCGAGGGACGGTTAGACAACGAGCAAGGTAAGACATGCATACAATGGGCCGTGCGCGGCACGAACTCCTTATCCACGCACCTGCCGACAGACGTTGTCCGACCTTCGTCTTCACCCGCATCACCAGGTTCCAGCGGTCACGGAAACGCTGGCTCCAGTGAGAGCTCGCGTTCCAGTTCTTGCCGGGGTAATGCTTCTTCATCCACTCGCGGCTCCACTTTTGGGTGTCCTTCACCGAGATGGCCACCCCGTTAGCGCGCTGAAGGCAGATGTAGCGGTACAACGCTGCCTCCATGTCGGGGTAGTGTGCGTGGCGGCCCCCCCCGTGCATCCGCTTGCGGCAGTTAGCCGCGCCCTTGTAGATGCCCGCAGCCGCCTCCGCGCACCAGCGTCTGATGCAGGCGACGCTCGCGGTTGACTCCAAGCTAGTCTTCTTCAAGGAGCCGAGCTCCTGATAGCGGCGCGCCCACTTAACCTTCTCACGCACGGTCCAGCCGCGGCGCTTCTTCGTAGTGTCTTTGCTGCGAGGGGAAGGTGGGCGGGTGTTGGGATTATGGAGGGTGGGGTCCTTCGGCGCCTCCTTCTCAGGGAACGTGGGAATCGGGCCCGCCGCCGCCGCGTACTCATCGTCGCTGCCCAACGCCTCGTTGACGATGATGTCGTCAGGATTCGGCGCCTTCTTCGCCTTTTTCTTTGCCGCACCCTTGCTGGATCCAGGGTCTCCGTCGTCCTTGCGCTTCTTGTTGCTTGTGCGGCCACGAGCAGGGGCCTTTGCAGGGGCCTTAGCAGGGGACTTAGCAGGGGCTTCCACGACCTTTGCCTTTCCCTTCTCCGCAGCAGTGAGTAGGGGGCGACGCTCCTCCCCGGGACTGTCGTCGTCACAGAGCACCACGCGGGCGCGCTTCGTCGTGGACTGTAGGCGATGGCGCAGCCTCCGCTTCAGTAGCGGAACGTCGTCGTCTGTCCCAAGGCTCCACAGGTCGTCGTCGTCGCCCTCACCCTCAAATAAGACGGCATCCGCAGCCACCTTGTTCGCCTCTGCCACCGCGTCCGCATCCGCAGGCGCCTCTGTCTCGAGTTCCGCCGCCGCCTCGTCGGCAGCCTCATTCGCATCCACCGCCGCTTCCTGTGCCTCCGCGTTGTCACCGCCAGCATCTTCACCTCCGTCGTTGTCGGAATCACCAGCCCGCCACTCTTCCACCTCGTCGTCGCTCCCGACCGGCTGATTCCACCATTCGTCCTCCTCGATGTCGGCAGTACCAAATTCGTCGCCCGAAGCGCTGTCATCGTGGCCGTTCTCCGGCCAATCCTCCTCGGCGTCGTCGCCGTGTGCTTAGTCTCCGTCTTCCCCGTCACAGCTCGCACAGGAGGCGGCGGTAGGACTTCCCGCCTTGCTCGCGTTCTTCGCCATGGCTACGCGGATGTCATCGCCGGGCGAGTTAATTCGCCCGTAGTTATTCACCTGCACGTGAGGACGAGGTGAGGACTTGCCTAGGGGTACCTTGCTGCGCATGGTTAGAGAGCCTGCCGAGAGCAAGGTTGAGGTGAGAATTCAACCTCCATGAGCACCAAATGAAGTGAAAGCCCGACTACCCCCCCCAGCCAGAGTGCCCCATCCACAGGTGCCGAGCCGCTCCTCTACGAGGCATCTCCTCGTAGAGGACAGCCTGACGCTGCCAACGTGCTGCCAGCAGCGTTCTGGAAGCTGCCATGCGCTGCTGGCAGCAAAACGACGCTGGCAGCATCATTAGATGCTGCCAGCACAGAGGAATCTTGCCAGCGGTGGCAGCTTTGCTGCATCACCACCGAGGTCGGCCTGTTTCAATGAATCTGGTCCCTGGGTGTTTTCTACACACTTTGCAAGTGTTACAATCAACTTATTTTTTTTTCCATTTATAAGAATTATAAGACACCCTAAACCATCCCGTTTACAAGATAACTCAAGCATTTTTGCCCGTGTACGAGATAAGACATATATGTCTTATATCCGGGCGATGACGGTACCCATTTCCCAAGGCTGCAGGTATGGTAATCTAGGTGCGTACTTAAGGATTCTTATTCATCCGCCTCCTCTGCCTGCCAGCCAGCATTAACAACAGCAGGGAAGAGAAACAACTAGTCACATGACTGAGATTAAAAAAAACAAAACAAATTACAGCAGGACACTAGCTGTCAGCACACGTGTGAATCCCCCATCATCACACATCCACCATTGCCACCATAGCACACCCATCACCACCGCACCAAACCCATTGCTACCATCATTATCCCCACCCACCGTTACCATCATTACTCTCACCCATCCCTCCCACCATGATCCATCATCCCATGTATTGCCACCATCACACACACCCACCAGTCTCACAACGTACCTCATCATCATCGCCCTCCTCTCCTTCCTCTCCCTCCTCCCCCTCCTCCTCCTCATCCCCACTGTACTCAAACCCAAACTCAGGCTCGTCATCGTCCTCCTCCACCTCCTCTCGTGGCCGCACGCCCTCCTGCCAGGGCAAGGACAGGTGGGAGGTATGGATGGGAGGTATGGGTAGGAGGAAGAGGGAGGATTTAGTCATTGCACTAAGAGGATTTAGTCATTGCACTAAGAGGATTTAGTCATTGCACTAAGAGGGTGGGAAGTATGAACACTACCACCTCTTGAGGCTGCACTCCCTTCTTTCATTGCAAGGTACAGGTGTGAGGGGGAGGCAGAGAAGGGAGAGGAGGGGAGGAGGATCCAGCTGTAATCCTCATACTGTATTGTTGAAGGAGCAATGTGAATACCAGTGATTTTGAGAATGGGTGCAAGTCATGAGTGATGACCACGGCTGGTAAAAGCTATTGCATGATACGTGGGATGCAATGCAGACAGGGTTGAGAGAGTGAGGGAGAAAATATGGAGTGGTGTGACACATGAGGGTCAACACAACGAGAAGCAGCACGACTCTAACTTGTGGTAATAGTAGTTGAGAGAGTCTTTGAAGCGTTATTGAGACATCTCAAAGCGCATGGCCTTACCTTGTGGTAGTACTTGATAGGGTTTGGCCAGATATCATCCCGAATGGCATTCCCAATCTGCAGGTCAACGGGCAACGCAAACAGCGCCTGTGAGCGGTTGTTGCGAATCTATTGGAGAAATCAATGAAAGCGCTTGTAAAACAGGCAGTATGATTGGCTGGCCCATGGAGCCAGTTTCTGAGGATCCACTGGGAATTCATCAACGCACGTGTGTGGCGTGTGGACGAACAGGCCCACACTTCACATCCCTGGAACACAGTGTCGGCATACAGGTGAACAGTCCCCTTCTAAAACCCGAAAGCTGAGCTACTTACACCCACCTCCCTTCGAAAATGGGGTCATCTCCCTCTCTCCCCCCCCCCCATTATCTATATCCTCCTTTCCACATCCACACCACTCCCCCTACCCCACCCTCTCACCTCTCCCTTCCCCTTGATCCCCACTCACATCGTCATTCGCGACAGAGATGGGGTCATCGTCCCCAAATGCCATCCAGCTGAACAAACTGCAGCGCGAGGAGGCAGGAAGGGAGAGGGGTGCAACGGGGGAGGGAGCGGAGAGGGGAGGAGAGTAAAGGTGAGTGGGAAGACACGTGCAGAGATGGGATAATCGTTGTCAAATGCCATCCAGCTGAACAAACTGCAGCGCGTGCACTCAGGGAGGGAGAGGGGTGTAGCGGGAGAGGGGGAAGAGAGGGGAGGAGGGTAAAGGTGAGTAGGAAGACAGCAGGAGGGAGGTGTGCATGGCGATTGAACCAACTAATCTTAAACCACCTGGAAACCTGCCAAATTACCTCACGACCTGTCAATTCACCTGACGACCTGTCAATTCACCTGACGAACTGTCAATTCACCTGACGAGCTGCTCCTTGCCCTCTTCCCCCTCCTCCCCCTCCTCCTCCTCCTCCTCCTCCTCCTCATCGTCCACATATGCCTTGATGCCTGCTGTGTAGTCCTGCGAGGTGAGAGTTGAGAGGAGAGGGGCGTGAGAAAGGAAGCGATGTGGGTGAAAGGGTGAGCCTCCTCCTCTTCATCGTCCACATATGCCTTGATGCCTGCTGCTGTGTAGTGACTGTAGTCCTGTGAGGTGCGAGAGGAAAGGGCCAGGCGCATGTTTGTTAGGCTACTCAATAACAGATGATGTGGCATGCATTTACGAATCGATGGCCCACATGCATTCATGATCCACCTAAAGTGATCTATCCCGCCCATCTTCCTCTCCCACCGCAGCTGCCCCCCTCTCTACCCAACCCACCACAGGCATCGGAGCCAACTCACCTGTCCCTCTCCCCCCTTCCGCTCCACCTGCCTTTCCTTTCACTCACCCTACCTCTTCCAATCCGTGTCATTACCCTACCTCTCCCTCTCTCTCACTCCCCTCCCCTCCCACTCCATCTCCCCCTCTCTCCCTCCTACCGCACCTGCCCCTCCTTCCAGTTGATACGAGTGCCTGTGACGCGCAGAGTGAGTTCATCTTGCATTATCAGCGCCCGTGTGAGTGTCTCGTTGCTGAAAAACGGATTCGAGCTGAACGTCTGGTGAGGAAGGGAGATGGGAGCGGCGAAAGGATGGGAAAAAGAACGGTATGGGTCCCAGCAAGAAGGTTCTAAGAAGGTTTTGAGAAGGTTCTGAGAAGGTCCTGATAAGGTCGTGATAAGGTCCTGATAAGACTTTAAGAAGCTCTGAAGCGGGATGGGTGCTGTCAGCCACATGATTCCTCCTCACATACCATGTTCCAACCAATCAGGTAACCACATCTCGGTAACGAAATTCCCACAGTAACATGGTAACCACGTCTCACCATGGTGATGGTGTAACCGATATCGCCCTCCTCCTTGCATTCCTCCACGTCTAGACTCGTGAGGTGGTTCAACACCTTCACATCCTGCTCCACCGTGCTGTGCCGTATGGCACCGCAGTTGCACAGCTGGAACGGGGGGAGGGGGGGGGGGGGGGTTGACGAGTTGTGAGGGGAGGTGCAGTTCGGTGAAGAGGGGTGAAGTGCGGAAAGGAGAAGGGTGATAGAGGAGAGGGAGAGAGTTGATTGAGAACAGGGAACGGGGGATGGGGGAGAGGGGAGAAGGGAAAGGGGTTGAGGGAAAGGGGAGAGGAAGAAAGATACGTCGGCTGACAATCGCGGAGAGGCGAATCGGAGAGGCGTGACAGCACGCGTGCGTACCACGTTTTGCCAGAAGTGCGGGATCTTATCGAGCACGGCCTTGCGCTTATCGTACAGCGGCCTCCGGCGTTGTGACACAAACGAGCGCTCCACCTCCAGCACCTCCCTGGTCGCCTTGTCCGTCACCTGCCGCGCAGCGCATGCGAGAAAGAAGCGCGCAGCGTAGGTGAAAAAGTATGGCCACGGTGGAAGGCGAGATCGAGAAGGAGTTGTGGTAAAAAAAAAAACTGCCCAAACGGGATGATGGCGGATTTGATAACGGGTACAGGGTGTGTACGAGGCTCAGGGTTCGCCAGAAAGTATAGCCAGCGAACAACCAGCGGAGCAAAGTCCGGAAAAAAAACCCTAATCTACGTCAGATGCGGACCTCCTCGATCTCCTCGTGCAGTTTCCGCATCTTCTCCACGAATTCCGCTAGTTTCTCATCCGCCATTGTCGCCGCCGCTTGTCCGTTCGCCCCCGCAGCCTTCTTCGCCTCTTTCCCGCCCGCATCGCCCGCGCGCGCTCGTTTTGATTTCTCCATCACCATTGCACGGCGATTTAGTCACTACAGGCTAGCTAGAGTGGTCACTTTCGGAAGCAAACTGCCTGAGTAAAACGAGCGCTGGCTGGATTGAAATCAAGTCCCAGATTCAAACATAGCTTGCAGTGCACACAAGACATGCTCGACATAAGCCTGCAGGGAATCGAGTTTCTGTAATAAACAAGATACGACGTTAACGTCGGAAGGGTTGCGTACGCGTTACATTCACAGTGAACGAAAAAACAAAACGTTTACTGATAAAAATACATTCACTTATTCTGCTATCTCATAATTTTAAAATATGGTATTCGTTTAATTGTTTTGAATTTCTGATGGTATATATAGTTAGAGAATTGAGAAACATTTTAACAATTGCCTAAAAAATATTGTAATACTATCAGGTTGTTGTTCTAGTGGGTTGTGGTTGGGTTGGAGGCTGACAAGTATCACGTGTTTACGTTTGTGTTTTCACGTGACACTAGCTTCCAAATCTAGTGTGCTTTTTCTTACTGTCCAAGTTTTGTTATGGTTTCCAGATGTAGTAGTAGCATCACGGTAGTGTTCTGGAAAAAACATGTTTCATGACTATTCTTTGGCAACTAACTCCGATTGCAAGAATTCAAGAACTGCACAGTACAGAATCTACAGTGTTCATTCCCTGAAACCTTCCTACCCAACCATCGCCTCCCCTCCCCTCCCTCCCACCCTGCTGTCCGCTACCTCCCACCGACCCAGCAATCGCGTTTTCCTCCCACCCTAGCAATCGCCTCTCCCTCCCTCCCGCCATTGCCTTTCCCTCCTCACCCGCCATCGCCTCTCCCTCCCCGTCGTCGCCTCTCCCTCCCTCCCCGTCGTCGCCTCTCCCTCCCTCCCCGCCGTCGCCTCTCCGTTCCCTCCCCGTCGTCGCCTCCTCTTCCCTACCCGCCGTCGCCTCTGGTGACAGGCGCCAAGCGCGAGCGCCAAGGCGAATCTACCTCTGAGGCACCGTGATTCTCAGGTACGTTGTCCTTTCCCGGTCCATTTCTCCTCCTCTCTGAAAAAATAATTTACTTTCGTACATTTTTTCGTAAGTTCTCTGTCTGTCGATTGATCTCCTTTTGCATTGCAATACCATTTGAAGAGAGGGAGAGAGGGAGAGCGAGTGAGAGAGTTCGCACGGGAACTAGCACGCTGGCGCGTATAGCGTTGGCGCCTAACTCGCTGGCGCGTATAGCGCTGGCGCCTAACGCGCTGGCGCCTAGCGCACTGGCTGTTTGCGCGCTGGCGCCTTACGCGCTGGCGCCTATGCGCGCCGGCGCCTATGCGCGCTGGCGCCGGTCGCGCTGGCGCCGTGCGCGCTGGCGCCGTGCACGCTGGTGCCTTGCGCGCTGGCGCCATGCGCGATGGCGCCGTGCGCGCTGGCGCCGTGCGCGCTGGCGCCGTGCGCGCTGGCGCCTTGCGCGCTGGCGCCGTGCGCGCTGGCGCCGTGCGCGCTGGCGCCTTGCGCGCTGGCGCGTAACGCGCTGGCGCCTAATGCGCTGGCGCCTTGCGCGCTGGCGCCTATGCGCGCTGGCTCCGTGCGCGCTGGTGCCGTGCGCGCTGGCGCCGTGTGCGCTGGCGCCGTGCGCGCTGACGCCTTGCGCGCTGGCGCCTAACGCGCTGGCTCCTTGCGCGCTGGCGCCTATGCGCGCTGGCGCCGTGCGCGCTGGCGCCGTGCGCGCTGGCGCCGTGCGGGCTGGCGCCTTGCGCGCTGGCGCCTTGCGCGCTGGCGTCTAAAGCGCTGGCGCCTAGCGCGCTGGCGCCTAGCGCGCTGGCGCCTTGCGCTCTGGCACCTAACGTGCTGGCGCCTAGTGCGCTGGTGCCTTGCGCCTTGGCGATTAGCGCTCTGGCGCCAGGAGGCCGCGTGAGAGGCCATGTGAGAGAGCGCGTGAAAGTGCGCGTGTTAGTGCGCGTGAGGGAGAGCGTGAGAGTGCGCGTGAGAGCGCGTGTGAGAGCGCATGTGAGAGCGCGCGTGAGGGAGCGCGTGAGAGTGCGCGTGAGGGAGCGTGTGAGAGTGCGTGTGAGAGCGCGCGTGAGAGTGCGCGTGAGAGTGCGCATGAGAGTGCGCGTGAGAGTGCACGTGAGAGTGCGCGTGAGAGAGCGTGTAAGAAGAGTGCGCGCGTGAGATAGTGTGTGAGAGAGCGCGTGAAAGTGCGCGTGAGAGTGCACGTGAGAGAGTGCGTGACAGTGCGTGTGCGCTTGAGAGTGCGCGTGAGAGGCCGCGTGAGGTGAGGGAGCGCGTGAGAGGGCAGGGGAGGAAGCGCGTGAGAGGCCGCGTGAGAGGGCAGGTGAGGGAGCGCGTGAGAGAGCGCGTGAGAGGGTGCGTGAGAGGGCGCGTGAGAGTGCACGAGAGTGCGCGTGAGTGAGCGCGTGAGAGTGCGCGTGAGTGAGCGCGCGAGAGACGCGTGAGGGAGCGAGTGAGAGAGGGCGTGAGAGTGCGCGTGAGAGAGCGCGTGAGGGAGCGCGTGAGGGAGCGCGTGAGAGAGCGCGTGAGAGTCCGCGTGAAAGTGCGCGTGAGAGTGTGCAAGAGAGTGCGTGTGAGAGAGCGCGTGAGAGAGCGTGTAGGTTTGTGTGTTTGTTTCTCAGAGAGTGTCTAAGAAAGTTGAGAGTCTTTGTGTGTCTGTGTGTGAGTGGGTGCAAGATTGAGTACAAGAGTGAGTTGAGCGTGATTGTGAAGTTGAACGTGAGGGTGGCTGTAATGTATTGCATCATGTTGGCATAGTACTGTGGTGCCATACCATTTTACCTCTGTGAGTTGTCAAAATTCCATTGCTTGTCAAGTTTCCTGCTTGGCCTCCTCGCGGGGAAGCATTATGCGTTTTATTGATTTTTTTGTACAGTGTGTGAACATTATTTGTTTTTGCCTTTTTCTTGTGCGAGGTGCGTGCTTTGCATTCTCTGTTTTTGCTCTGTGCAGGGCGCGTGAGCTGCATTCGTTGATTTTGTTTGGCAGAGAAGGGAGATGAGGGAGGGGGTGGGAGGGAGATGAGGGAGGGAGGGAGGGAGGGAGGGAGGGAGGGAGGGAGGGAGGGAGGGAGAGAGGGAGGGAGGGAGGGAGGGAGGGAGGGAGGGAGGGAGGTAGGGAGGGAGGGAGGGAGGGAGGGAGGGAGGTGGGGAGGGGGGGAGGGGGGAGGGAGGGGTGTAGGGAGGGGTGTAGGGAGGGTAAGGGGTGATTGGCTAGTGATTATTTATTAATAGCTGAATTTCATGATGATTGGGTATTGACTATCCGTATGTATCAGTGCTTGTTTGCGTGCGTGTCAGTGTGTATGTGAGTGTGTGAGCCTGTGTGAGATATGTATGTGCAGTCGTGTTGTTCGATTCGTTTTGTGTCTGTCTCAAGGCGTGTGCTGAAGTGCCTCGTGTATGCAACTCAGGTTGTGATCGCCGGTGGGGCAATAGCCTTAGCGTGCCAGACCAACCTTTGTTGCATCATCGATGCATTTTAGCATTCTCCCCAAGACACTTAATTATTGTTATGCGTTGTCGTCATTGTACCAGTACAATGTCGCATGTCCTCGTTCGTGTTTGTTGTAAGGTGTCATGTTAAAGTGTGTCAGGTCTGCAATTGAGGTGGGGATCGTTGTTGGGGCAGCTTTGCTCGCCTTAGCATACCGGATCCATCGCTATTGTAGCGCTGATGCATTTTGCCATTCACTTTATGACATTTAATGTTGTTGAGTGTTGTCGTTTTGCACATGTTCTATACGGTAGATGCAAATACCGTAATTTGCATCCACGTTGATTTTTTTGTCTCATCAGTTGTGTGTGATGCACCCTAAAATATTGCAAGGCTACCAATTGTTTCCATTCGCTGTATTTATCGACGATTTTGGAACAATTGGTCTCATTTGGTTTCACTTTTTTTGGAGAGTCTTGTGTAGCAGTGGCTGTCATCTCCACACATTTGAAGCACACGTTCTCAAAACGTTAAAAGTGAGTGCTTCAGACGTTGGGAAAGTGACAAAAAATGCACTGTTCATTCGAGTCGACCGAAAAAGTGCTACCAAATATAAAGGGGTTGCTGCGCAACCCAAAAACATTCGTAACTTGTACCATTTGAAATACTATATAGAGGAGTTCATCACAAGCTTCACTAAGAATGCTGGTCATCACATCAGATACTGCTGAGAAATTCTCTACTATTAAATTCAGCCGGTGCTTCTCGCATCAGCAAATCCGTGGTTGCTAGCTGCATCCCTTCGCGCGGCAACTGCGAAGGATCAAACAGTTGCAGCGAGGCATACTGATTCAAGAACATAAGCATGTACTTGTACACATTTTCCATTGAAAGCTTGTCTTGCACGAAGTCTGAAGCAGCAGCTGCAATTGTCTTTGCTACCTGCGGGTGCTCATTACCCCAATCAACAATTCGCTGCCCAGAAAAAAAGAATCACAAGGAGGATGTAGATATAAGGAGAGTGGAAAATGGAACATCAGCTGAAGTTCAGTTTCAACTCTAGAATCTTACCTTGATGTTGGGGCATATGGGTGATTCGTTTGGAAGTGGTGCCTCAATAAAATGTATGCCGTTATGTAGCCCTCTTGAAAAGAAATCATAGTATTGTGTTTTGATGAATACGGGTGTGGAAGCACAAGCGAGGATGTATTTCAGACTGCATGACCATGAAGTCCCCTCCACATACACCTTGTACCTGCCAACCAAGGTTACACTCGCCATGCATTAAGCAGGAACAACATTGCAGAGAAAACAACTAACACGACAAGTGAGGAGATTTAAATCCGAAAGGGTACCATACTAAAGGGCGAAGCCTGTGTGTGAGGCTTCTCTTTGCACAAGTATGATGCGTGATCCACAACAGGACCCACCTGTGCTGCCATCAACCCACCTGTGCTGCCATCAACCCACCTGTGCTGCCATCAACCCACCTGTGCGTGCACTGATTCTCCAATCGCGTGGTCTCCTCTGCAATCTCATGCACCCATTTCGTATCCCACGCATCCACTCCCCAATCCCTCTCTGCCTCCTTCCCCTCACTCCCCTGACCTTTCGCATCCTCCCCCACCATCCCCCCTTCCTTACCACCGCCTCCGCCAGCACCCTCTTTGCTATCTTCCCCTCCTTCCCCTCCCCCCTGTCTGCTACAGTTGACCAGATGACCCCTGAGGTCCGGGGCAACCCACGTGGCGCCCTTCCAGTGAGCACGAGGGATTCTGTCCCTCCAGGGAATTGAACCTGTGCCTTCTTTGATCAGCTTCCTTGCCGTTTCCCACTCCCAGATTCGCACTTCAGGCCTGTGAAAAGAAACCAGCAGAACTAGTGGCGCCTCATAACTGTTACGTTCTTAAGGTGCACGGATTCTTCAGCTTCAAATTGCATCAGATTTTGCCAGCTGCATGTTCATGGAGAGTCAGGTGTTAACGGAATTTTTTCAATAGCCTGATTCCAGATGCACTCACCAGCCCCAGAAGGACCAATCAGGCCACACCACGTCCATGTGCCGGGCCGTGCTACAGTACTTGAGCAACAGCGGCGGGGGGTGGGCGGCAGCTGCATGGACAGCTCTCTCCACCAGCGGCCAATCATTGCACTCAAACATCAGATCCACGTCAGGCACACACCATGACACGTTGCCTGTTACGTCTGTCATCGTTACACTGTAATTTGCTGCTCTGATACTATTTGATGCATCAGCGGCATGGGGAGAAGAAGCTGGGCAGGGAGGGTAGCTGCGCAAGAGTTGGAGGATTCCCCACAGCGTGAAAAGCGCTCGGGTTTGATAACATTCCTGAACATAAAACGAGGTAAACCGCAGGCAAATTGAGTCATTCAACAAGCAGAACAGACGAAGAAAGCTGCTGCTTACTGAAAGATATTTGCATCCTCATCATCCGTGGTGAATGGACACGATCGTTGAGTAATCTCACCGCGTAGTGCTCCACAAAGAGTTGGCCGTTCACAATAAGCACACGGAAGGATGCTCCTACGGCGCGTGCGTTAGCGAGCGCCTCCTGTGGGATGCCACCTCTCTCCCTCCATGGCCGGAGGTCGTCTTCTATGAACCTAAAATACTCGGGAAGCTCTTTCTCCCTGTTGACCTGTGGAATTTCACGAGTTTTTTCGCCGATATTTACAAATTCATCCACCCATGTAACGGTCTCATTAAAAGCTGCTTCAAGCGCATGAGGGCTTGGCGGCTTACTTGATCTGCGCAGGAGACGATCAGCCTGAGTAGCATCGGGGGTCTGCTGAACGAAACCTACTTTCTGTCAAAGTGAACGCGGAACGGCATGAAACTGGACAAGTGGTGCCGTCGTGTCAAACCTAGAAATGGAGATGGCGTTGTCGAGAAGGAGCCATTGGAAGAAAAGCACCTGCAATCCAGACTCGAGAGTTTGTCAGTGCCCTGGAGGGACTGTGAAGGGGAGTCGACGCTTCCCTGATGTGTCAGTGAAGGATTGAAACCTACATCGAGCTTACCCCAACGAAGCATGCAACTAAAATCGGAATCAAGGGAAGCTTCATACTGGCGTGAATTCTGAGCAGCGTTACACGACAAGCAGCTTTCTCTTTACCTCACTGAAGGACATTATTTATTCGAACTCGAAAGAACGACCACGAGAGACCAAGTCTGGCAGGTACGTGGTGAATAACAGGCAATCTTGCCTCGACGCCATGCTGCGCGGCCTAGCACTGCTGGCAAGACACGAATCAGTGGTCTCGTCTCGATCGGTTGCTCCGAGCATCGATCAAGCCGAATGGAGTGATGAATGACGTGGTACGGAATGCCATGGCCCTCCCCGGTGCACTGGGTTTCAAAGCTTCTGCACACTCAAATACCCGGCCCACCACCTCAGCCCAGCATGCTTAGGCGCGAAATTGTCGTCTTTCCCCTGAGGGGACATTTGTGTGGTTTTTGGTGGAGGTGGAGGAGTTCGTTGACAAATCGCGAATCTTTTTGTGACGAGCAGATTGGCGAGAGTCAACCGTGTACACATCCGAGGGCGAACTTTGCTTGCTAGTCGCTCACTTTCGCCCACCCTAATTTGGGGTGAACTCTTGACGGATTGCATCGACACAGCACGATCCATGTCCCACATCATCCCCCCATGACTTCTAGTTCTCTATTGCCATCTCTAATCAATAAATTTTACTTGGTTGAGGAGCCCGCATAGTCAAGCAAGGCATAATTACGAAGCTATGGCCGCTTTTCTGGTTAGCATTCGGTGTCCTGCCTCCATCACCGCTTCACCCCCACAATGGCTCATCGGGACGGATGGATCTGCTAGATCCTGTCTATCCCGATGCAATCTACCGTGCTCACCGCGACTCATTAGGCGCCTTGCAGCCTCCACTCTCGCTGAATGGCCTTCTCAACGTCGGCCTTCCTTCCAAAGCCATCGGATTTCTTCCGCTCGTGTAATCACGGCCATGCAACGGGTTGACGAATCGCAATATCTTCATCAGGGAAATTCAGCGATCAGCCTTGCCACGCTTTGCATTCCACCGTACGTGCGCATCACAGCCGTGGCGCTCGCAGCCGCTTCGTGCTCATTGCTGCTCGCCTTGAGTTCAGCCATGGCTGCTGCTGAAAATGACGCGCTGTTGGACATTCAGACGCTAAGACCGCGAGTGCAAGAGGTAAGAGATTGGCCATCAATATGTTTACATGGCAGAAGGAGTAAAGAGCAAGAAGAAAAAGTTTTAGCCCTAAAGTACCAATTTCCTGCGTTTGTTTTTCATCTGTCACAATGTTTATTGTATCTAAAATATGTTCCATTGATCAGCAAATCAACGAGTCGTACGTCAAGAGGGATGGCCAAGATTTGTCAGTGTCTGATCTGCAAGGCGCGACCTTCATGGAAGCTTCCCTTCGTGGCACCGACCTGCATGGTTCTGACCTTCGAGGGGCCATGTTCACTAAGGTATGCCATGTCAAATCGATCTTTGTTATATCTGCTCGCCATGGTGCTGGATAGAGCCATGTCACTTCTCATGTTAGGCTATGACTCACGTTGTTGAATACTCCAGTTTGTCTGTTCTCCTGCCTTTTAATGAACCTTCTCTCTCTATCTGACTTTTCTGTTTTTCACTTCCTAGGCGGTCTTGTACAAGGCGAACTTATCAGGAGCTGATCTATCAGATGCCCTGATTGACAGAGCAGTACTGAATGATGCAGATCTTCGCAACGCTGTACTGCGAGGGGCGTGGCTGGCTCTCACTGACCTAGGAGGAGCTGATATCACTGGGGCTGACTTCACTGATGCCATCATTGACAAGTATCAAGTAAGTATGGGTGTTTCTCTGGTTTGTAAGAGTTGCTTCTGTCCGAAGACTTGCACACTCTCTAATCTGTCCTCTAATCCTTTCAAATTCTCTTCTGCAGTTGAAGCAACTGTGCTTGAGGGCTTCTGGAGTGAATACTTTAACGGGGGCCGACACTGCAGAGAGCTTGCGGTGTGCATCTACACGGTTCTATTCTGGCTCTGGAAGCTCAAGATGATAGGATTCATGAAGTATCTGCTATATAGCTTTGTGCATTGTGGGCTACGGCTTTAGTGGCTGATTATTGTTGTACATTTTATTCAGTGTAGGCGTCAGAAAGATTACTGTACTGCTGTATTAAGTTCAAGTGCACTTAGTACATACCTACACTTTCTGGGAAGTGGGAAAATTTGTCAGGAAACGCGCAGCCGTCCATTTTCTGGGAAGCACCAGCCCCGAACCACGCCGTGCCATTCGTTGGATAGTCCACCTCAGCGGGTCCTGGAAAGTAGCTAGTACTCACGGCCGTCAATCCAGTTTCCCGCAAAAGATCTCCCCTGGTTTTGATGAAAGTTGCTCGTCAAGCAGTGACTATTGCACCCAGCACGCACCTAGTCTACTTCCTACCTAAACTAGTTCCTGCCGTGGGAAGGCAACTGGGCCGTGGTATGGTAGACTGCAATTCGAGCGTTTATGGCTGACGAGCCTAAACTCGATCTTGGCCAGCAAATGGTTTCGTGAAATGACGAATGCACTGACCTGCTGCCGATCAGTCAGAATTCTTACCCACGAAACTTCAGCGTGTACCTCGCACGTATCTCGCGCAGCGCGTTGCCGTATGTTTCGCAGCATAGAGCGCATTGCCGTGACCGCACCGGCACAGCCTAATGCTTGATTTGGTTTCTGTAGTCGTTGGGGGAACACTGTTCGCGACGCGACAGATGTGAGATGTGAGACCGATGCGACATAGTGGCATATGTATACGATAGGTACGAGATGGGCATGCAGACGTTTCGATAGTAGATAATCACAGAGTAGGTTTGTACCACGGATCCGTGAGCAGTCCATGTGTAAAAAGCACACCTTTTCCGCTTGAATACTGACTAATCTAGCTTTCAGACGTCGCCACATCAGCCATGGAGGGCGCGCCTGCGCCGCCACGTGGCAGCGGAGCAAATGCGGAGTTTTACCTGCCGAACTATCGGTTAGGGAAGACGCTGGGTGTGGGGTCGTTCGGCAAGGTGAAGGTAGCGGAGCACGTACTAACGGGACATAAAGTGGCGATTAAGATCCTGAACCGGCGGAAGATTAGATCCATGGACATGGAGGAAAAAGGTACGCCGACCCTGATTTTCGGTCTTGGAACCCTAAGCGCGTGAAATTCATGAACACCTGGTTTTCTCGAATTTTATTATATCTTGTACGATCACTTGCTTGGCAATTGCGAGCTTCTTAGTCTCCGGTTCCTGTTAGCGATTAAGCTTTAACTCCCATTCAACTCTTTCCTTCCTTCCACTTCCCCATCCCACTGGCATTCTCGCTCTTCATATATCTGTCCATGCATCTGTCTCTCCTTACGTTCATACCGTACATCCCCCTGAACCCCCGACCCCCCTTATCCCGCAACCCTACACCCGCTACCCCACACCACCACACCCTGCAACCCCACTCCACCCGGCAGTGCGGAGGGAGATAAAGATCCTGCGGCTTTTCACGCGTCCGCACATTATCCGGCTATACGAGGTTATTGAGACGCCCTTCGGCCGCAATTCCCCTCTCACTCATCTCCTCCCCTTTCACCCCCGCATTCCTGCACCCCCCTCCCCGCTCCCCCCCCACCTCTTGGCAGTGCGGAGGGAGATCAAGATCCTGCGGCTGTTCATGCATCCGCACATCATCAGGCTGTACGAGGTCATCGAGACACCCGCGGACATATTCGTGGTGATGGAGTACGTCAAGGCGGGCGAGCTCTTTGATTACATCGTCGAGAAAGGGCGGCTACTTGAAGATGAAGCCAGACGTTTTTTCCAGCAGGTGTGTGTTACGCTCAGAATGGCGTTAAGGTGGTAACGCCAGCAGGCATTTTCGTCAGCACGCATGTTCGCCAACAGCCATCTTCGCCCGCGGACATATTCGTGGTGATGGAGTACGTGAAGGCGGGCGAGCACTTCGGCTGCATGGTTGAGAAAGGCAGGCTGCTCGAGGATGAAGCCAGACGCTTTTTCCAGCAGGTGGGTGTTACTGTAGGTTTGGTGCTACGAGGCGGCAGAGACCGTATTGGCGACCTGTTTGACTGGACGGACTGCATTGTGGAGAACGGACGGCCTTTCTACGATGGCGATGTTTCCAGCAGGAGTGTACTCTCAGCAAGCTTGTAATCCTTCAGCATTTCAACAGGTGTGTGAGGTTGCAAGGGCGATTCATGGTCACTGCATGGGAGGCCATGAGCGGAGCAGAGCAGTACAGCTGCGCCGTCCTGGTCTTCTCAGTGAAACCGCTGCATTGACACCTTCTGGGCAGCCTGTGTCCCTTCCCTCCCCACCTCCTTTTCGCCTCTTTCTCCCTTTCTCCCAGCCCCCCGCCCCCTCCCCTTCTCCTCCCTCTGTATTCCTCACGTCAGACCCTGAGCTGCATTGAGTTGTGCCATCGCAACATGGTGGTGCACCGGGACTTAAAGCCCATCCTCACTTGTTTCCCTTCATCCCCCCCGCCCTCCATCGATGGTTCAGGTCGTGAGCGGCTACTGCCATCGCAACATGGTGGTGCACCGCGACTTAAAGCCCGTCCCCCACGTCTACCCCTGTAAACCCCCACCCCCCTGTTATTATTCAGATTGTGAGCGGCATCGAGTACTGCCATCGCAACATGGTGGTGCACCGGGACTTAAAGCCCGAGAACCTGCTGCTGGACGCCAAGGGCAACGTCAAGATCGCCGACTTTGGGCTCAGCAACGTCATGCGCGACGGCCACTTCCTCAAGACGTCCTGTGGCAGCCCCAACTACGCTGCCCCTGAGGTACGTATGGGGGATTCAGATGGCTTTCAGTGTGAGTTGGTTGATGTAAGCATTGCTGACTTTGGGCTCAGCAACGTCATGCGCGACGGCCACTTCCTCAAGACGTCCTGTGGTAGCCCCAACTACGCTGCCCCTGAGGTACGGCAGTTGCAGCTCTATGCAGCTCCCGAGATATGTTCGCCAGGTAGCCCCAACTACACTGCTCCTGAGGTACGTGTGGGCGATTCAGATGGCATTCATTCAGTGTGAGCTGATGTAAACGTTGCCGACTTTGGGCTCAGCAACGTCATGCGTGACGGCCACTTCCTCAAGACGTCCTGCGGCAGCGCCAACTACGCCGCTCCGGAGGTATGAATGGAGGACATGAGTGACGTTGCTCAATTGATTGAGGGTTTTTTTCTTTCTTAAGCCAGGTAGCTTGTCAAAGCCAAGGTTGTTGACTCTTCCCTCTGACTCTTTCAACGCTGGCTCTGTCAGACACTCATCCTCCCCCCTCTCCTCTGCCCTCTGCCTTCTGCCACCTCGCCTGCCCAACTCCTTTCAGGTGATACCGGGGCAGCTGTGAGGTGGTCCCCACTTGGACGTGTGAAGATAGTTTCAATTACCTGAAAATCATTCTCCCACTTACCCCCCTTTCCCTGTTTTTCGCTCAGGTGATATCAGGGCGGGCGGCTGTACAGTACAGAGGTCCCAAGGTGGACGCGTGGAGTTGGTTTGGAACATGAAAAGCTTGACTCACCTCTGTACACCTGTTCCTCCCCCCCTTCTCTCTCTCCCCTCAGGTGATATCAGGGCGGCTGTACGGAGGTCCCGAGGTGGACGTGTGGAGTTGCGGGGTGATTCTGTACGCGCTGCTGTGTGGCAGCCTTCCATTCGATGATGAAAACATTCCCAACCTCTTTAAGAAGATCAAGGTGCGGTTGCGGTGATGGTGGGTGATGGTTGGGTTGATTCTGTATGCGCTGCTGTGCGGCACCCTGCCATTCGATGATGAAAACATCCCCAACCTCTTTAAGAAGATCAAGGTGTGGTGTGGTGCAGTGTATGAGCGTGCGGTGCAGTGCATGAGCGTGCGGTGCACCGTATGAGCGTACGGTGCAGCGTATGTGCGTGCGGTGCAGCGTATCAGCGGGCGGTGCAGCGTATGAGCGGGCGGTGCAGCGTATGAGCGGGCGGTGCAGCGTGTGAGCGGGCGGTGCAGCGTATGAGCGGGCGGTGCAGCATGTGAGCGGGCGGCGCAGCGTGTGTGCGGGTGGCGCAGCGTGTGTGCGTGCGGTGCGGCGTGTGTGCGTGCGGTGCAGCGTGTGTGCGTGCGGTGCAGCGTATGAGCGTGCGGTGCAGCGTATGAGCGTGCGGTGCAGCGTATGAGCGTGCGGTGCAGTGTATGAGCGTGCGGTGCAGTGTATGTGTTTGCAGTGCAGTCTATGTGCTTGCAATGCAGTGTATGTGTCTGCGGTGTAGTGTATGTGCTTGCATTGCAGTGAATATGCTTGCGGTGCAGTGAACTGGCCCCAGTTCACAACCCCCTGTGAACTGGCCCCAGTTCACAACCCCCTGTGAACTGGCCCCAGTTCACAACCCCCTGTGAACTGGCCCCAGTTCACAACCCCCTGTGAACTGGCCCCAGTTCACAACCCCCTGTGAACTGGCCCCAGTTCACAACCCCCTGTGAACTGGCCCCAGTTCACAACCCCCTGTGAACTGGCCCCAGTTCACAACCCCCTGTGAACTGGCCCCAGTTCACAACCCCCTGTGAACTGGCCCCAGTTCACAACCCCCTGTGAACTGGCCCCAGTTCACAACCCCCTGTGAACTGGCCCCAGTAACTTCATGTGATGTGGTAGGTGGGTGTGAGGGAGGAGGTGCGTTGCCTAGAAGGTGCATTGGTTAGAAGAAGGTGGGTTGTGGTTTTGACTCGCGAATGGCGTCCGTGCTCCTCCATCACCCCCCTGAGGGTCTCAACCTGGTCGCCGAGCCGCACACCTGGTCCACCGGCCCCCTCTCCCCCCTCGACTCCCCCCTGGTTGCTCCAACCTCGTTGCCGAGCCCCACACCTGGTCCACCTTCAAGTCGACTCAGCAGTGCCCTCCCCCTTCCCCCTTCCCCCGTTCCCCACTGTTCCCCATCCTCTGTTTCCCCAGATGATGTGGGCGGCGGACTTCGACTCACGGATGGCGTCCGTGCTTGGCCCCAGTTCACAACCCCCTGTGAACTGGCCCCAGTTCACAACCCCCTGTGAACTGGCCCCAGTTCACAACCCCCTGTGAACTGGCCCCAGTTCACAACCCCCTGTGAACTGGCCCCAGTTCACAACCCCCTGTGAACTGGCCCCAGTTCACAACCCCCTGTGAACTGGCCCCAGTTCACAACCCCCTGTGAACTGGCCCCAGTTCACAACCCCCTGTGAACTGGCCCCAGTTCACAACCCCCTGTGAACTGGCCCCAGTTCACAACCCCCTGTGAACTGGCCCCAGTTCACAACCCCCTGTGAACTGGCCCCAGTTCACAACCCCCTGTGAACTGGCCCCAGTTCACAACCCCCTGTGAACTGGCCCCAGTTCACAACCCCCTGTGAACTGGCCCCAGTTCACAACCCCCTGTGAACTGGTCCCGGTTCGCAACCCCTCTGCAGGGGCGCGCGACTTAATACCGCGCATGCTACTAGTGGACCCCATGCTGCGCATCACCATCCCAACCATCCTGTTCTCATGCCCATGCTCTCACTTTCCTCTCTCCCCATCATGCAGGGCGGCATATACGCCCTTCCTCGCCATCTATCAGCAGGCGTGCGCGATCTGATACCGCGCATGCTCTTAGTGGACCCCATGAAGCGCATCACCATCCCAACCATACCCTACCCTTGCCCGTGCCCCCGCATCCCCTTCACATCGTTGCAGGGTGGAATTTACGCCCTGCCCCACCACCTCTCAGCAGGCGCGCGCGACCTGATACCGCGAATGCTACTAGGGGACCCCATGAAGCGCAGCGCATCACCATTCCAACCATGACATGCCCATGCCCGCCGCCCGCCCCCCGTATGGCTTTCTGCCTTTGCAGGGCGGCATCTATGCCCTCCCACACCACCTGTCGGCGGGTGCGTGCGACCTGATACCGTGCATGCTACTGGTGGACCCAATGAAGCGCATCACCATCCTGTGCCCATGACCGTGCCCCATGATGCTTTCTGTGTGCAGGGAGGCATCTACGCTCTCCCCCACCATCTCTCAGCGGGTGCGCGCGACCTGATACCGCGAATGCTCCTGGTGGACCCAATGAAGCGCATCACCATCCCCGAGATCCGCCACCACCCCTGGTTCCTCGCCAAGCTCCCCCGCTACCTCGCTGTTCCGCCACCCAACGCCGCCGAGCAGGCCAAGCGGGTGAGAGGTGCAATATGAGATCCAACGTGGTTACAGGGTAAGGGGGTGGGAGGGGGGATGGGGGAGGGTGTGGGGATGATGAGGGGTAATTCTCCACCACCCACAGTTCCTCTCCACCACCCACAGTTCCTCTCCACCACCCACAGTTCCTCTCCAGGCTCCCGCGATACCTGGCTTGCAGCCAGTGCTGCCAAGCAGGCCAACGGGGTGAGATGCAGGATGGGGATGTGTGATGAGAGGGGGTTTCAGGAATGGAAGGGGGAACTAGAACGGGGGGACAGGAATTGGTGGGTTGAAGGGGGGAAAGTGAGGGGAGGTAGGAGAGGTTGGATTTCTGGAATGCGACCAGGAGCACCTTGCAGAGTCTGTCGTATATTTTGCCCCCCTTGCTGTTTTCTCCACCACCATCAGATTGACGAGGAGATATTCTAGGCCAGGTGGTGGTGACCAAGATGAGGTTCGACCAGGAGCACCTGGCGGAGACCCTCCTCTCCTCTCGCTCTCTCTGCCCCTCCTCTAATCTTTCTCCATCCCCTCCTCTCTTCTCACACTCACACTCGCCAAAGCGACGAGGAGATATTCCAGGCGGTGACGAGGATGAGGTTAGACCAGGAGCACAAGGCAGAGTCCGCCCTCTCCTCATCCTCTGCCCCTCCTCCCCACCTCCTCTTCCCGTCTCCCCTCCCCCTCTCCTCCCACAACCGTCAGATCGACGAGGAGATATTTCAGGTGGTGACCAAGATGGGGTTCGATCAAGAACACCTGGCGGAGTCCCTACGGGAGCGGCGCACCAACAAGGCCACAGTCGCCTACTACCTGCTTCTCGACTCGCACCGCCGCATCTCCACGGGCTATCTGGGCGCGGAGTTCAACGAGCACAAGGAGGGGCAGCAGCAGCACGCCTCACACGCGCTTGCGGCCGATGGGTCCCCGCTGGTGGCGGCGAGGGGCGGGCTGGGGCATGCGCTGGTGGCGAGGCGGAGTGTTGGGAGCGGGGGAGGCGGGGGTAGTGGAGGGCTGGGCATGGGGGTGCCGGGGTCCCCGGCGCATAATCACCAGCGGGTTGTGGCGGACAGGAAGTGGGCACTGGGTCTGCAGGTGAGAGGGTGAACGTGAGTGTGTATGTGTATGTGTGTATGTGTGCATGGTTGTGGGCCTGCTCAGGCACGGGGGTTAATGTGCTTGTGTGCATGCATCTGTGTGTGAGTGTGTGGAGAGGCAATGCAATATTGCAGGTGAAGGTCTCCTCCCCCTCCCTCACCCCTCTCCCCTCCTCCATCACCTTTTTCTGTTCACCCTCTTCCCTCACCATCCTCCCCTTCCTCCTCCTCCATCGCCGCTCACTCTCCCCAATTCCCTCTTCATCCTCCCTCCCCTCCGTTCTCTCCCCTTCCCCCACACCCAATGGAGGTGATGGGGGCGGTGTTCCAGGCACGGCAAGCGCTGCAGGTGACTCTTGGTGTCATTAACAGGCCTGATTCCCCCCACTCCATCCCCCCCTCCTTTCCTTCATCATCAGTCCCGCGCGCACCCAATGGAGGTGATGGGGGAGGTGTTCCGCGCACTGCAAGCGCTGCAGGTGCGGTGGAAGAAGCTCTCCCCCTACGTCGTCAAGTGCCGCTGGGACGGCCCCCTCCCCTTCCCCCCCACCTCCTCCTCCTCCGGTGCTGCCTCTAGCACAGCCTCCTGGGTGCATGGGCATGGGCGTGGGGGTGGGTATGGTGGGGGCGGTGGGGATGCGGATGGGATGCTGGTGGATGGCGGGAGGCTGGATGGTGTAAGGACGATACAGGACGAGAGAGGCCGCCCGGTGATTCCTGTGGAGGCGCTGGTGGGCGGCGGGGTTCGGCGTTTACTGCGGTTTGAGATGCAGGTAAGCTTGTGTGTCACAGTCAGTCTCTCTCACTGCTGCTCTTCGGTCGAACTTACATTGAGCAACGGCCCTCATCGCCCTTGCTTGTGCACCCCGCCTCTCCCTCGTTGCCTTTTTATGCCTTCCTATGCCTTTTTACCATGCATACCGCAACGCACATGGTTCCCGCTGCTCTGTTTCTGGATGTGTCGTGGAGGTTGTGAGAGAGAAAATTCTCAAAACTTGCCGGGTTGGGGATGTAATCATTGCTCCTGAAGTCACTACCTGAGTCATGATGATTGCTCTTTCACTCCATCCATTCCCTGCACCGCTCTGCACCGCACACAGCTGTTCAAGGTGCGCGATGAGAAGTATCTCCTGGATGTGCAGCACGTGGACGGCTCCCACATGCTCTTCCTCGACCTCAGTGCCGACTTCCTCGCCGAGCTGCATGTCATATGATCCGTGCTGCTACTGTCGGGAAAGCTACTAGTTGCATATAATTGAAGCTAGTTACATGTCATTTGAACCTGGTTACATGTCACCAATGCGAGTTCTGTGCCTTAGGTGCTTCGCTTCCTCTTTGAAGTTGCAGAGCAGTCTGGGGAGAAGATTCCTTGCCAGTCTTCTTGGCTCGTATGGTACCAGTGTCACTCTGAATTGTGTCTCGTGTCTTCCTCTGTGTATCATATAAACAAATGCAGCATTATTGGATCATGCCAACAAGCCCCTTTGAACTACCGTACGTTCCCAAGGAATGTGAGGATTCCAAACCTGCTATGCTCACACAGCGTGCTATTGAAGTGTGCTCAGCTCACACATATTGTTACGGGTGCAATGAATCGAAGTAGCGAGAATTGCACTAAGGTGTCAAACGAGTACAAAGCTGTGAGCGAAGGCATGAGCGAACATTTATATGCGAAACATGCAAACGGTAACGCGGTGCGTGCGAGCTAGCTAGTGCTATGCTGGCAGCGAGGCTCAGGCTAGTCCCGGAGCGTAGGCCGACACGGCCGGGCCAGCAGTGCGAGGTTTGGCAAAACAGTGCGCGCGAAGTTGGCGAAGTCCCGTTAGCAGTAACGGGCGAACAACGGCTGTTGCTGTACGCGATGTAGTCGGGCTCCGTAAGGAATGCCGAGAAAATTCCTTACACTACCCCCCCCCTCAAGAAGCCCCCTCCGCTACGCGAGTGCGTGTATATCGCGGAATCCCCGGCTCCTCAGGTATACTTGCAGGGCAGGGTGGTTTTCAATGTTGGCCAGGGGCACCCAGCTATCTTCAGTTGGCGTGTGGTCCTTCCAGCGAACGAGGAATTTAATCCTCCTGATTCCCGTGGGGTGGCGAATCCGGTAGCTCAGATTTTTTTCGGGCTCGATGATCGGCTCCGATGCAGGGCGAGTCATGGATGGCGGGCGGTGACGAGGCAGTTGGCTTGTGGTTGGGATGTATGGGCGAAGTAGGCTGACGTGGAACGATGGGCTGATGTACCAGTCGGTCAGTAACAGTAGGTGCGCGGTTACTGGCGTGATCATGTGGCTGATTTGGAATGGGCCACAGTAGCGCGGTCGAAGTTTCGGTACGTCGGGCAGTCGCAGATTTTGCGTGTCGAGCAGTACGTAATTCTCAAAGTTAGCGAACAACGGAATGATTGGAATAGAAACGAATGGGGTACAAATGAGCAACCCTAGAAGCTGTACCCCCTAGAGTGCAACTCACTATAGCCTATCATATCAATGTTCAACATTTGACACACCCCCATAGGCTAAGTGAGGGGCATCAAAGCAAGCAAGGTGAACAAACGGTCACAAGACCAGTCAAAGCAAGAACCAAGGCAAGCTCAGGGTGGATCTCAAGGACACCACACAAATTCCGAGCGCAAGCAAGCGGCCACAAGGCCAGTTCAAGAGTTCACTAGGATATAAATAAAAAGCACAACAAGCAGAGCAAGCAACAGGACTACAGCAACCGAGGGCCTACCTCAACAAGCCCCAACTGCACACAGAACCTGTGGTGGTCACCAAGCGCCAAGGCCTTGGTGAAGACGTCTGCAGTGTTGGCCTCTGAGGCCACAAAGTCCAGGCGTGCCTGACCGCGTCGCTGCAGCTCTCGCAGGAGGAAGTACCTCACGTCAATATGCTTCACTCTGCTCTCCAGTCGAGGCTCTCGACACAGGAGGATCATGGCCTTGTTGTCAGCGTACAAGGTCGGTGCAGAGCGAGGCCGCTCACCAAGGTCAGCGAGCAAGAAGGTCAACCAGCGAAGCTCCTGTGCCGCCATGGCACCAGCGTAGATCTCTGCCTCTGCACTGGAAGTAGCCACAGACGACGACCGTGTAGACCTCCACGACACAGCACTAGCTCCCAGACTGAAGCAGTAACCCTGAGTCGAACGCTGAGTCTCCACGTCGTCAGCGTAGGAAGAGTCGCAGTGACCAGTCAACGCCACTGGCTGAGTCCCTCCAAGCACAAGCCCCAAGCCTGATGTAGTCGCCAGGTACTTCGCCACCCTCACAGCAGCTGTCCAGTGGACAGGGCGATGTCTCCCAGTCGCAACAAAGCGAGAAAGGATGCTGAGTGGAAAGGCGAGGTCCGGTCGAGTACACGTCATCAGGTACATGAGGCAGCCCACCAGCTCTGCGTAGGGACCACTGGACTCAAAGGGCTCGTCAGGAAAGGGGCCAGTGAGTCTGTGGTCAACAGCAAGAGGTGTGGGCTGTGTGGTGGAGAACTGGAAGTCGAACCGCCGAAGGACCTGCTGCACCATGTGTGACTGCGTCAGTGTGATGGTGCGAGCGGCTCTGTCCCGGGTGATCTGCAAGCCAAGATAACGCTGCAGCTCACCCAGGTCAGTGCACTTGTGTCTCTTCTGCAGTTCGGACTTCACCTGAGCCAGGGCTGCCCTGTCTGCTGTAGCAAACACCAAGTCGTCGACGTAGACAAGGATAAAGAAAGGAGTAGAACCCGCTCGAACAAACAGCGACGGGTCGGCGGAGGACGGGCTGAACCCAAGGTCACGAAGCGTGGAGCGAAGAGTGTCGTGCCACTCACGGGGCGACTGGCGGAGACCGTAGACTGGTCGCCTCAGGCTCCACTGGGTCCCAGGTGGGAAGGTGTCAGTGAAGCCAGGAGGACGGCGCAGCCAGATCTCCTCGTGCAGTCGGCCCTGGAGGAACGCAGTGGAGAAGTCGAGGGAGTGCAGCTCGTAGTCTCGCTGCGCTGCTATGTGGAGTAACACCCGAAGAGTAGTCATCTTCGGGGTCGGGGCGAAGGTCTGGAAGAAGTCAACTCCCTCACGCTGACTGAAGCCCCTAGCCACGTAGCGCGCCTTGAACACCGGCGGTGCTCCAGGCGGCCGCTTCACCTTGAAGAGCCACATGCCATCGACTACGTTCGCCCTGGGAGGGGGAACTGCGTCGACGTAGGTGCCTGTGGATCTCCAAGACGCCAACTCTGAGTCCATAGCCACTTTCCACTGAGAGGCCCACGCCCCTGACACTGCCTCGCGGTAAGTGCGAGGAGTCGGTATGTCAAGGGCGTCGGGGTCTCCCTCAGGGGAGAGCAGCATGGCACACACAGAGGGAGAAGCGGCTGCCCAGTACTCCAGCTCAGACTCTCTGTCCTCTAGGACGTCACAACCAAGGGCAAACCCACCCCCGACGGACAGAGGACGGTAGGGAGGAGCTGGCACCACACGGGTGGCGTAGTCAAGGCGGCTGGCGGCAGCAAACTCAGCGACAGCGGCAGTGAGAGCCGAGACAGACGACGGAGGGAAACGAGGGTCGGTGACAAGAGTGGTGAGGACACGTGCGGCAACAGGACGAACAGCGCGGTAGTAGTCAGAGATAGGAGTGGGGAGGGCAGGTAGAGAGGACGGAGGAGGAGACGGGAGAACGGACACAGGAGAAGGAGAACGTTGACGAGACGAACAAAGGAGGGCAGTGTGGAGGTCAGTGACAGGGGACGAGTGACGAGCACGCGGAGGACAACGAGTGATCAAGTCGCGACGGACAGAGGGAGGAGGAGACTGAGGAGGAGGAGAAGACCAGACCGCCGGACGGTCGTCAGGAGGAGGCAACGGAGGAACAAACACAGGAGGAGACTGGGAGCGGACAGGAGGAGAGGAGGAAAGGCCAAGGGCCCGCAGGCCACTCACAGGTGGGAACAACCGCCGCTCTAGAGGAACCTGCGGTGGCGGCTGCGGCCGCTGCTGCTGCGGCTGCGGCTGCGGCTGCGGCTGCTGCTGCTGCTGCTGCTGCTGCTGCTGCTGCCGCTGCTGCTCCAGAAGGTCCAGCACCCGCAGCTCCTGCCGCTCCCTCTCCAACCGCTCCTGCTCCTCACGCTCACGCCGACGGGCAGCCTGGAGACGCGTGTCGTGGCGGTGGGGGGGCGGGGTGGACTCCGCAGAACCAGGGTCTCCAGCGTCAGTCTCCTCAGACTCAGCACCCCCAGAACCAGTACCGCCAGTGCCAGGACCTCCAACTCCAGCACCCCCAGAACTAGCACCGCTAGTGCCAGCACCCCCAACTCCAGCACCCCCAGAACCAGCACCTCCAGTGCCGGCACCTCCAGCTCCAGCACCCCCAGAGCTAGCGCCACCTGCGCCAGCACCTCCAGCTCCAGTACCCCGCGACCGAGCACCCCCAGACCGAGCACCGCCAGCGGCTGCACCTCCAGCTCCAACACCAACCGAGTCTACAGTAACCTGTCGCGGAAGTGCCGAAGGCTGCTGAGGAGACTGTGAGGAGGACTGCGGGGAGGGAGACGCTACCTGGCGCGCGACCGAGGGGAGAGGGGTAGCGTGGGACACACCAGACGGGGCAGGACCAGGGGGGGGCGGGGGTACTTGAGGAGCGGGAGCAGGAGGAGGAGAGGGTGCGAGGAAGAGAGGGGGAGGGGGTACCGGGAGACCTCGACAGGGGTACCGGGTGTAGTAGGACACGGACTCGTCAAACCGGACGTCACGGGAATCTAGGAACTGGTGGAGGGGAGGGTGGTAAAAGGACCAGTCAGCAGAGTCCACTGGGAAACCAAGGAAGACACAGGGGACGGCGCGTGCCGAGAGCTTGTCCGCGGAGGTGTCGCGAACAAGTGCAAGGCAGCCCCAGACTCGAAAGGCCGACCCAACACCAGGGGATCCAGTCCAGAGACTGGTCGGTGAAGCCTCGGGCCGCGAGACACGCGGCTGGAGGTTCAGCTGGTGTGCGGCGTAGCGAACCGCGTGAGGCCACAGAAAATGGGGCGCACGGGCATGAATCATGGACGTGCGGGCGATGTCCATGACCAAGCCTATGCGGCGCTCAGCAACCCCATTCTGCTGTGGGGACTCTGGCAGCGTCCAGGACTGGGTGATGCCCTGTTCGCCGCAGAATCCGCCGAGAATGCCGGAGCGAAACTCGCCCCCACGGTCGGAGTGAAGACAACTGACTCGACGACCACGAGTGCCCTCAGTGGCTAGAAGCCACC